TGAGCGGTGCATCCGGTGTGTGACGTCCTTAACCTTTTTGGTATTCCTTACAAGGCGCATGCTAAACAGATACATTTTGATAAAACTTTAGAGCGTCATACCAAACTTTTTTTATCATTATCGTCAATAGTGTTTGGTCAATCAGTACCGATAAAATTTGACCAGCCCAACCCAATGTCGTACAGCTCCAGATAAGTTAAAACAGCAAGTAGTAGTCTCTCCTCCATTTTTAAAAGTCTCTTTAGTCTTCTTGACAACACAAACACTGCTGTCACCTCAACAGAATCCCTGCCTCGGTTTTCATTTGAGTGGGGAATGAAAAAAGTTGTGACTGATGTAGCAAACTTTTTCCGCTTGGAGTTTACTGTATTCAACTGCAGGCACACTGAGCAAAAAACACCAGGCACAGCAGGCGGTTAAAATGTAAGGCGTGCAGTGTGCTTAAGCAGTGCGCAGAATGCTTATAAACATCAGAATACATTCAAAAAAGACACCTCTCATCACAATAAACACATTCACTGTGATCGACCCCTTACTGAAATCATTTTTAAGGCAACGGTCTTCTGCAGTTGATGTGTTTTACATTAATAAGCTCCACAGTCTAACAGTTTTTTTGTCCACAATTGGTTTTCTGTTATGTTTATGCGTTTCATTTAAATTAAATAGTTTTCAGTTTCAGCTGACCTCTCACAGATCAGAGACTTGACATCCTCTCAATGGTGACAGTCAATCAGAACATCGCTGTAATGAGTAGATGTGACCCGGGTCACCAAGGGAACACCTGTACCTTTTGTAAATTCCTGCAGGCTTCTCATCAATGTGGCTAGTCTCATCCCATTCAACTATAAAACTCTGGACAGTTGCAGATCTAAAAAAATACTGTATTTTGTTGTTAGACATTCTCAGGGGCAAACTCGTGGCTTGACAGGAGCTCCCAGAACTTATGAAGTGTCAAATCAGTGATGTCAAATCAATAGAAGGAGACACTGTGCCCTGATGTTGACCGCTTGAGACACTGACACACTAGCTAGTTCATGGCCACTGGCTCCGAATGTTCCTGTGTGTCTGCAGAGCAGCGTAAATGCACCCGGAGACCAGGACCGTGTCTGAGAACAATGTTTTTGGCAGAAAAGTCTTTAAAATGTCTTTGTTTTTGAGATTTAGGATTTTGGTCACAATTAGTTTAGTCTAGAGGATATTTGGAGTGTTTATCATATTAATGGCTGTTTTTGAACCCCAGTTATCCAGTCCATCTCCTAAATGCATTTATTTAGATAACATTTATCTACATAAATCTGAAATCAGTATCTGCAACTGAAATTGCTAACAAAAAGAATTTTTTTTCAACTCTCCAGCCTATTTTTAACACTATTGTATTTTAAATATAATTAACATTTTAATGCCAACAATTTAAATGTTTACTTGCTATTATAAATTTAAAATCATTATTTACGATTCGAATATACACAACCTGACAAAAGTCTTGTCACCCATATAAGTTTTAAGAAAAACAAATAATAACTTGACTTCTAGTGCCAGAAAGGCCAGTAAGGACAGAAAGGTCTGACTTTGCTTAGACAAAAGTCTTGTCACTTAACAGAAATAATGTACAATATAAGATATAAAGTAATAGTGCAGTGGAAAAAGAAGGAATATTGTGCATAGGGTTGTAACGGTATGAATTTTTCACGGTATGATAATCGTCTAAAACAATACCACGGTTTGACGGTTTCGCGGTATACGGTATGTTACAAATGTTACAAAATAATAGAACAGTGAAGCAAATTTGACTTTTTCCAAATAATATATTTTTAGTTACTATAAACAACACCACTTACAATGAACAAATAAAAAAATAAGAAAATAATAAATAATGTGTCAAAGTCCAAATAAAGTCCAAATAAACATGGTGCAAATCCTAAGTAAAAAATAGACATAAATATTTACTATACTATAAATAGTTATATAACGAAACTAGATTCAATATGGAACATCCTTAGGTTTTATGTGCCAGCATGGATATGGTTGTCTATCGATATGGATTTGGATATGGTTGTCTGCAATGCAGACAAACAGCTGCATCTTCATTTGCTTCTTTTGAAAACAGCAAGAGCAGCAGTTCGTCTTTGCTGTGTCACTGTTTTGTCATGTTTCTGTGCTGCTGTGCATGCAAAAGTACTTAGTATGAGAATTATTTCATGAAAAACTTTTTTTTTTTGCGTTTTATTTAGCCGCGCATAAATGTATGCCTATCTCTCATTCCGTGTTGTTCAAAAAGCTTGGTCCACAAACAAAAGCGAAACCTATGCTTATTGGTTGTGATATAGCGAGTTTGAACCAATCTGGGCATGGAGGAGGGATAATGCATCAATGTATCATGTCTGATTTGTCCGGAGACACAGTGACGAGCGTTTCTTTGTCAAATCAGCGTTGTCAAATGTTGATGACGTAACCGCACTGATTCCGGAGCCTCTGAAAGTCCGCGAATGTTATGTGATACAGCGCTGGAAAGCTGAGATTCTCTTCTTTATGCCAATCTTTGAATTGTATGAATCGGATCAGCGGATCAAAAGTTATTAAACATTTAAGAGCAATACTTATTTTTAGCCGCGGGCGGCTGTCTCGGTCTTTAAGAGTTAAAACCGTTGATATGCAATTGTTCATGGTGTGATAATCGTGCACGTTCAAATCGTGGTAAACCGTCATACCGGTATATTGTTACAACCCTAATTGTGCATGACTCCCATGAACTTGGATGATTGCATCTGTACATCTCTGCAATGACTCAAATAACTTATTAATAAAGTCATCTGGGGTGGCAAGAAAGCATTCTTGCAGGAGTTCATCAAGATTCTTTGGATTTATCTTCAGTGCCTCCTCCTTCAACCTAGACATGCTCAATAATGTTCATTCCTGGTGACTGGGCTGGCCAATCCAGAAGCACCTTGACCTCCTTTGCTTTTAGGAACTTTGATGTGGAGGCTAAAGGATGAGGAGCGCTACCCTGCTGAAGAATTTGCCCTCTTCTGTGGTTGGTAATGTAATGGGCAGAACAAATGTCTTGATACCTCAGGTGGTTGACGTTGCCATCCACTCTGCAGATCTCTGGCACGCCCCCATTCTGAATGTACCCCAAACCATAGTTTTCACCAAACTTGACTAATATCTGTGAAAATCTTGGGTATATGCAGGTTCTTCTGGAGTATTTGTGATGATCAGGATGCAGTTCAATAGATGATTCATAGAAAAATCTACCTTTTGCCACTTTTCCAAATGATCATTTTTTTGTTGCTTTTACAACTGTGATTGACAACAAGACGTTTGTCAGGTAGTGTAGTACTACTAGAGGGTCATAAAAACTACTAGAGCCGAACATTTATTAACCCTTCCTGGAAAATGATTCATACATTGCACAACATTGCATATTTGTTTATAATTTCCAGCCTATTCTTACTGATTCTATCAAAACTATATACAGAACAAAAAACATACACAACAATTCAATAAAACCTTATTTATAATTCAAAGTTTGTTCATTCTCTGAATCTCCATGTGTCAAAATCAGAAAAATAACACTGGGAAACATTGGGAAATAACTGTTCAGAAACAATTTTGCATCCTTATATTCGAGTTCTGCCTGTTAAGGCTTTGTGTAACTTGACCAGTTGGTTTTCTGTTTTCTCTGAACATGTGGTTTGCATCGCGCACTAAAACAGAGTGTTTGACTGATGGTTACTATTGTAGTGCTTTGAAAATCCCATATTTATCGGATGTCTTTACTATCTGCATTTTGTGTTTGCATGGCCAGCATTGCATTTCATACATTTTATTAATATCCATTACAGTTCTACCAACACAAGTTCATACAGGGTGAGTCAAATGGCTTTGCAGGTCAAGGCTGTTAAAATTTTACTGTGCAGAGACTCATGCAATGCCCCAACCACAGGCAAACAGATGTTTTCTGATTTCTGTCTCTGAAATTGATTCTGTCAGCACTAAAGATATTATAAAATGGTCCAAAATAAGACAAACAAAACAGACGGCATTGTGCACAACTTTTACCCAAATCACAAATAGATTTTTAATATTTTAGTGTACAGGCCAACTAGCTTTCGAAGCTGAAGTTCACCAACTGACTTAATCACTATTAGAGCGATTAAGACATGTGTGATGATGTGAACAAAGTTAGAGAACAGATTCATTTTGGTAACTAAGTTAAGTGGGACTGACAGCTCTTTCAATAATTCAGCATGCGAGCGTGTGGATGTGCCGGGTGAACTGAACACAGTCCCAGCTCATGGCGGGCAGGTGGGGTCAAGTCGGCCTCTGCAGCCTCCCGGGCATGGCCAGATGGGAGGTGTGTATGATTTTGTGTGTGCGTGTGCAGTTGCCCAGCAGGAAGCTAGCAGGTCTTTGTTTGTTCCGCTGACATTCTGCATCATCCTTCACCTGAAGACGCACGCGTTCCTCAGGATGAAAGACTAAAGCTGGAAACATGCTCATCACTTCAGCTCACACTCAGACTTTCCTCGGCTTGTTAACTCGCTTTCTGTTTCTTCAAACCCTTAGATGAGACATGTGGGCTAATCAGATTTTTGACAGCTGATTGGTAAGATATAATTGCTTCTCTCGTGTGACTGGTTGAAGGTTGGATTACAGAGTGTCAGGAAAGCTGGATTTAGAAGATTGTTATGAAAAGAGTCTGTCGGGATCACATGTATCCTGCACAACCTCCAAACCAGGGGTTTTGAAGGATGCCTTGCCCTCCTGAGAGAGACACTTAAGAAGGGGTGGAAAGTCAACTGCAGAGCAGAAGATGCTTTTTGCGCCTGATACATTTTTGATGAATAGAGTTTCTATGGTGTTTTAGAAGTGTTGTAGAGCGTCTGATTTTTGATTGAACCTATTTGTCAGCCTCTCAGAGAACTTTTATATCATGCACAGACATCATCAAAAATCAGAGGGCAATGTAAACGTTCCTTTTCACATTTTTCTTACAGGTTCTCTGGCATCTGGATATCTTCCGACGGAGTTTCCGGCAGCTCACCACACATAAGTGCATGGAGGACTCGTGCATCTTCTGCGCTCTGAAGGTAAAGCACATCAGCCTTTAAATGACATGTTTTGATGACCTGGGTCTTGGCTCCATTATAGCTATTCTAATTCAGTAGTTTCAGTAGTTTCAAACATTAAATTGTGATCTTAATTGTAGAAACAGCTAAATAATCGGCCTGACTCTTTTAAAAAAGAGATTTTAGTTAGTCCAAAATAAAAGTCATACCATCAACATTCTCTTACCTTTATCGTTCCAAACCTGAATGCTTTTCTTCATCTTGCAGAAAGTAAAAGAAGATATTTTGAGAGATGTTTTCTGTGGTTTTGTCAATTGAGTGTCAATGTGTCATACTTTATAAAATGCATCTGAAAAACAAAGACAGTAATACATTTTTTATATGATGCATATTTCTTTGTAACTCTAGATAATTTTGTCTGAAAGCATAAATGAAACAAAGTGCCTCCATAGAATATTTCCCAATTGTTCCCAGCTATGTTTAATATGTAAGTTAGACATTGGCACAGTAATGCATGTATTTTGGGACTGCGACAAAATCAAAATGTACTGGATTCACAAATGATTAAACAATAATTGGAAAGACTTTTGCTTTGTCCCCAAAAGTATACCTTCTGAATTGTACATCGGAACTGTGTCTTGATCATGACAAAGAATGTGTATTGAATTTTTGTATATTCTTGGCCAAAAAATGTATATTATTAATATGTTCAACTGCACAGATACATTCAGTCAATATGTGGCTGAGTCAGGCAATCAGACTCCTACCACTGGAAAAATGAACTTAAGATTTACATTAAAGATCTGAGGTGTTCTGCCGCATTTTGGTCCTCCTGGATTTTTCTTGAGGGTACTCAGTGACTATGTCTTTCTAAATTTGTTTTATAATCTCCTTTTATTTTTGTCTTTGCTCTGAAGCATGTGTATGCATTTTTTGTAATGTAACAAAAACTGTTGCACTTGTTGTTAACAGATACCAGTACCACTGTTGTTCTGTTGAGAAAAAAAAGGAACATGTTTTTGATAAGCAGTTGTGGATTCTATTTTTTTAGAAACTTTAAAATCAGTGCTGAATCGCTACTTTCGTAATGTTGTCTGCTTCCAGAAATTTCTTCTTTATATCGTTTACTGTTGGCAGATCGTTTGACCAGTAGTTGTATAATATATTTATGTGCTATAAAAATATCAAACGCATTGTGGTAATGCATAAACATTTAATAGATATGCGTCAGTCCAAAACCATTGAGAGCTTAACCAGAGTTGCGTGACAGACGTTGTTGTGTGTATTCAGCTCTTGCCATGTCATTCCCTTTTTTAGTTCCGTTCCTCCCTCACGCTCATTTTATATTAGATTCCTTCTAATGTTCAGGAGTGCCATTGGCGCTTTCCATCAAAAGTTCAATAACTCAGCTGGAAATTAGAGAGCTCTCTCCTGAGCCCTGTGCCAGCGCAGTAGGGGGGCTGCTTGTCTGCTCTCACACACAGGACTAGGACAATATTTCTGTCAGCCAGTCCAATTTCTCTCATGGGTCTGGTAGTACCTCACTTTTCAGCTGTCTGTATCTTTCTGACATTAGTCCAGTGTGTTGTTTTGTTGTTATTTTTACAGTCAGTGGCACTGGTACGGTGTCTCTCTCTCTGTGGTATTCATCCTTTAAACCAAAGATGTTAATCCTGTAATGACTCTGTTTACTGGAGAGTTTCTAAAGTCAGCACAGAAGTCTTGCAGACTGGCATGTCTTGCCTCTTCTTACTGCTTGGGAAATCATAGGTGTGTTCATGTATACCTGGAGACACGTAATTGTGCAGGGTTTAAATGTGGCTTAAGAGAGAAAAGACTTCTTTTATTTACTCACAGGATCACCTTTGTGTGACTGTCTGTATGACTTAATTTCTTCCACAGAATATAAGTGAAGGTGATTTGAAGAATGTTAGACGTTCTTTTGTAAAAAACAAACAATCAAACAAAACAAACAAGCAAAAAAAGAGGTGGAGCAACATGATGCATTGTTTATGGGACAAACTAGAATTGAAACAGTTACCACATTTGTTACACAACAAATTTACTTATTTAAATACCTAATTTACCTAAGTGCAAAAACTTTCTGTGCATTTGTCATAAAATGACATGCAGTCCAATGAAGTAATAATGCATTATGCTATTACAAATGCTGTTTATAAAAACAAGATTTTTTGTTTTGCCAATTCATCTCAGAACATATCAGAGGATAACCTAAAGAAAATATTAGGTAAAATTTTTTCAGGATTTATTTTGGTTTCTGTAAAAATCTAGATGGATCTGGAGTTATAAACAAACAAACAAGGGATTAATTCTAATCAATAATAAGGCGGTTTGCTCATGTCCCATTTTATAACAGATTTTGGTCCATAGAGACGTTACCTTGTGTAAGAGAATCAAAACGTTCTCATGAGCAACAATTTTATTCACTGTTTCTGATGTACAGATGTGAAAATACTCTCACACATCGTTTAGTTTAGTATCATTTATTTTACATATATTAAAGTATTTCATTTGTCATTTTTTAAATCGTATTATTGTATAATTATTGTATAATTTTAAAACCATTTTTTAATCATAGATGTCTTTGTGCTGCCCACTGTATACTTTCAGAAAAAAATTGAAATAATTGTTCAGCTTCCAACCCTAATAGGGTGAATATTAAAACTCTTAAGGCTGGTTTTTACTACTGTGTCAAGCGATTGTCGTGACCCACGCCCCATGCCTTGCGCGTAGCCAAGCATTTAAACTTCTGCGTGCTGTTTGTGTTGCTCTGCAATAACACTTTCGAAATGCTAGCTGGCAGTAGGTCATGTAATGTTCCATTTTATTTTTTCTGATTGCTGCCTTAATGTACAAGTAGTTAAAACTCGCTCATTCAGCAGCGGGAACCACAGACGTGCAACAACTTTAATTATAAGGTAAACACAAAACAAAGTTTCCATCTGGAGCTTCTTCACAGACTCCACACTTGTAAACTGTCACTCCATCAGGCTCTCGGCTCTCAGCACTGCCCACACCCAGCACTGCCACTTAGCCGACTAATCACAGAGCTTGCACTACGCGCCGTTGAAACGTGTAGCAACATTTTTTGAGAGGTGCGCATTAGCGTCGGCCATGGCGAGGGCTATGCAACTGCGCAGAGGCAGAAGTATTTAAAACAGAAGTATAAATCAGCTTTTGCCATGTTGCTATGAACCTTTCATGGCTAAAAAGGTACAGAAATAAAAGGAACTGCCTGTCACTAGCTGTTTTGGCCTTAAGGCAAACATTTTTTCTGATTAGTTTATTTCTGAAAGAAATACTATAAATGAGGTGTTGTTATTTTTCTTTGTGATTAACATTAACAAACAGCCCTGTTTTGTATTTTCAGAGCATTTTTGCACAGTTCCAGTTCAGCAGTGAGAAGGTGCTGCCCTCTGATGCTCTCCGCTGCGCTCTGGCCAAAACCTTCCAGGACGAGCAGCGATTCCAGCTCGGCATTATGGACGACGCGGCTGAGTGCTTCGTAAGGGCTCTTGACTCTTCATCGTCACTCTCTCTCACTTTCCTCCCCCATAGAGCTTTTTTCTCCTATTCTCCATGTCCTTGCTTTTTCTATCCTCTCAGTTAGCCTTCACATACCACATTGTAGGGTCCAGCCAGTTGGTCCAATGACGGTATCCAATGGTGGATGAAGGTTCACTGCATGTTCGGTCTTTCCAGTGCACAATGTTGATTTATATTAAACTTAACTCATATCTGACTCCAATTTTAGTATGAGGTGGTTTAGAATATTAATATGTTTATCCTCGTTTTATCTGACTCCAATTATAAAACATTGAGAAGGTTATTTTGTTTCCGTTCACATTAATTTAGATTATGATTGAATATTCTCTTCGGTTCATCATTTTATGTTATTCTCGTTCATTGGGATCTCTATAACATCCTGAATCTTGTACCGGCCGAGTATACAATTTCTTAAGCACAAGCATGTCAGTCTTGGTCACTAAACAGGGGCGATTGACCGCTATCCTAAAAAGGCAGAACCCTACTTACTCAGATTAGGATATTTTTTATGCGGTCCCCATAGGTCTGCTACCTCCTAAATCAGACAGAGCTATTTAGTCATATAACGATCATTACTATAGAATTAAGCAGACCAGTCGTACTTAAACTAGTAGTAACTTTGAATAATCACTATACTATCTAAATAGTATTAAAAGTTTATCGGGTGAAGGACTATCCCCTTAGATATCCTTTTACAGCCTAAGTATACATGAATAAATGCCAATTTGTTAGTCGGAGCTCTAGAGACATCGTGTAACGTGCCGCAATGCTCCGTCTACCGTGTTCTAGTCCGCTACTAACCTGAACAGGGGCTTGTGGTGCTATGAAATTACCACAATCTACTAAAGATAATAACACGAACTCTGTTTGAATCATTCAAAACATAACAATTTATTAGTCAGGTAAATGTATTATGCCAATTCAATCAGTCAATTCATAAATGATCAATACAAAACATCAAATTATCAAAGATAAATCCAAGATAAAAAAGATGCATTCCTGACTTTGAAATATACATAACATGGGGCAGACCCCATGTTATGGGCTGATCTGGTTAGGCAGAATCGCCTTGAGCTTTTCTTAGCCCTTACCTTAAATAATCCGAGAATTCCCTCAAGAAAGGGGGTGTGAATGTATAACAAAAGGCATTCACACTTAGTGTCACACCCCTCACAGTGGTTCAAAAGATGCCTGAAGTTATATATTTATTGTTCTGATTATGTCTATTTCTGAGAGAATGAGACCATTGTACCAATCGCACTGAGACATTTCAAATGATATCAAACATGATAGTTAAAGTCAGTTTGGTTAATTCTAGAACATTCAAACATTGAAATGACCATATGTGTGAGTTAGGGGGATGAAGCAGACTCAGATGCAAATGCAGCAGGAACTGGTTTTTCCCGCATTCCTCCCTGGTGGGTTGTGAAGTCACCAGTCTCTGTTTTCAGCTCATGTTTTGAATTGTCAAAGATATCAGAATATTTGCAATATTTCAATTCTTACAGATAACCCCCATTTGATCCCGTGGGTCAGATATAAATGTGTCCATGGGGTCACTATGTATCCTTGTTGAGGTCGTTCAGGGGCAATTCAAGACAGTCTCTGCAGCATTATCAGTTGTAAGTCGTGTTCAGCAGGTAGCTAAACAGGTCCAGGCTCGTTTTCACCTCTTTTGATGAGCCTGACCCGAATGCACTGCTCATTCAGTCCATACAGGCCTTCATAGCTTCCACTGTGTCCTTCCCCTGACAAAAGTGTCCACGTCGTGTGGGCTTCTCATAGTCTGCTTCTTCTGATGAATCTGGTCATCTCCAGATATGCAGACATCGGCATGTGGGGGTCTACAGTGTGTATACACTGCCTTCTCTCGGACACCTAAACAGCAACTTGATGGCTCAGCGATTGAACAGTTATGAACTTGTGTCATTCTGCATTGGAGAAAGTCATGAGGTTAAGCATAAAATATATGATCAAAACTTAAAAGTCAGCAAGTGCGAGTCGTACAACTGGTCTCAGGTCTCTTTCAATCTGTTTAAATGGTCCAATCAAAAACAGATAAGTCTTTGTCACCACTGAGATAGGGTATAATGATAGGGAGAATATTAAATATTCTTGGTTTGAATTACTCAAGGTAAAGCTATCAAAAGGTCAGTGCAACTTATTAAAACAGTATAACAGGCAGTATGCATCATAAAACATATCATCATGACAATACATTCAAATAAATGACATTCATTTTCAAAATGAAAAAAAAAAAAAAAAACTTGAAGATATTTGTCATACATGATAGTAATCACATTATTTAACCATAATTATGAAGGTATATCTATAATAATGTGTGTGTTTGTGTGTGTATGTTGTGTGGTGTGTGTGTTTGTGTGTGTGTGTGTGTGTGTGTGTGTGTGTGTGTGTGTTAGTGTGTGTGTGTGTGTGTGTGTGTGTTTGTGTGTTTGTGTGTGTGTGTGTGTGTGTGTGTGTGTGTGTGTGTGTGTGTGTGTGTGTGTGTTTATGTGCGTGTGGGGGGGCTTGAACACAATTGATGGTATTTGTCAAATTTAAATGTCCTAGTGATTATTAGAAGTGTCCTCACTTCGGTTTTAATTTTAATCACTTTAGCACTTATACCTGTTATTGGTGATAGATTGGAAAACCAGGGGCCCTCTGGTTTGTCAACCATCCCCACAACAGTCAGTGTATCTATGGCAAGTTCGCCTCTATTGAAGTTTTATACCATCAATTTGTTGTCAAAGCCATGCAAATGTGTAATTTCTTTTCAGCTGACAGAGGGTGTCAGAGGGTGTTTGTTGTCTCGTCTGTCATCAGATTAATTATTCTGTTCTATGTGTGTGAGGCTAATGTGTTTTGTTCGTATAAACATGGACAAAAGATCTTAACTAAAGAGATTTGACTCCTGGGTCTTTGAAGACTAAGGTGTTATCTATGTGCCTGGGTTTACCTGTGGCTATGTGTCAGTGTAATGCTCCGAACAATGGTAATCAACTTTTATAATTGTGTTGCAAAATTTTAGTCCTGTTTAACAGGGAGCCAGCATAAGAATGTGAACATGAGGTGTGTTCCGGCTCAAATTGATTCCATATAATATCTTTTACGGAGCATTTTAAGGTGCAATGTTCAACGCTGGATCCTGTAAAAAATGCATTTTCATGGTTAATTTAATTATCACACTCTATACTCCTGTTTGTAGTTCAAACTGCAGCTATACAGGGGATAGCAGAGTTTTCTACTTTTGGAGATCAAAGCATGAATTTCAACATAGTTAATTCCATTTTCATACAGGACATGTGGTTTAACATGTGTATAGTATAAAAACAAATTTAAAAATGCCACCAGGATTCGTGACAATAGAGTCTGTTGCTATTGGTCTTTGCAGGAACAATGCAGTAAAGTTCTTTATCGCCTCTAGGTAACCAAGGTTTTAGTCCCATTGCTATTAAGCAATTTGGGAAGATTTTAACTATGAGATCTTTTTGTGTCTCTGTTTCATTTAACATGTAAATTTACATCTTTGTTGAAGAAAGATGTTTTGCGAAATCACATAGCCTCCTAGAATGCTGAATCCATTGATAAGATCAGCTGTGGATAATTGTTATTCTGATGACTGATCAAAGACTTTTTTCAGAGGACTCACTGCAGGTGAGGTGTTAGCACCACAGGGGTTCTTGCTTTGAGATGCAAGATGGGAGACTTTTGGCCTCAGGCTATGGCTTAACCTTTTGTTGCCCTCATTTGTATTTGTTTGATGTGGACCGGATCTGGAGTGTTCTTTGTTATTGGTCCGCCTAAGATGAGAACAAAAGCAGAGAGAACCATTTTTAGAATTTTCATCAGTTTCAAATTCAATCATGTGGAATTAATGTTAATGCATCATCTTGCAATATTAATTCTGGAAGCCACATGATGTTGCTGGTCAGATGTGAATTGCTGTTGTTGATTTCAGCATATTGTGAGTGTGTAACACCTGTTTACACAGTCTGCTGTATTCTGAGCATTATCTCCCAGTTCCGCTGGGGACATTTTTCTGAATCAATCAATGATTTTTCATTAATTTCAGTTCACAATCTAATGGGCCGATACCCATAGTTCATTTTTTGCTCTCATTAACAGTCAGATCTGTTGGCAGAAATCATTTCACCCTTTTGGTGTTCTCTGCTTAACGGTTGTCATTTTATGGTGTGACTCACAGGTTAGATCTTTTGACCCATAAAAACTTTGGTAACTCTGAATGTTATCATATCCATCCCCCTTTCATTATTTTTCTGGTGAGTTTAATTCTCTGATCAAATTTTAATTGTAGGTGGTGTTTTTCAGCGAGGATTTTATTGGTTTACAATCAGTTATGCTATAGTAGTTCTGTCAGTGTTTTCATTAAGCATAAAGAAAGCAAACCTCCTCAAGGTGAATGTTTCACCCTTGGTCTTTAGTGCCATGATTGGCGATTATAATATAATGTTCATTATTGTTTATTCCTAATGTAATTATATTATATTAAAATATTAAATATTAAAATTTAATTATATCTGGTCTCTGGAGAGTGTTTTTAGAACAACAGTGCATTTTAGCTTAATGCTTTTATCTTGTGATCAGGGTTGTGTTTGCTTGTAAGTTGCATGGAGAACAAAAGGGTCAGCAAAGGCTTATGGCCAAATGGAAGAATGTATTGTTTTATGCAAATACAGCAAACACATTCTGAGCATCTTATTATCACTGAGGTGAGATTTCTCTGCTCTCTGTCAGGACATTTGAATATGAAAAGGTTTGAGCCATCAGGAGGTCTAAGGGCTGATTTAAAGTTAAAATCTTAGAATTTCTTTTATATTTAGTCTGTTTTGAGATTAAATTAAAGTATAGTGGATATTTTACACTGTAAACCCTAATGCTGTAACTAATTAATTGAATTGAGCTCTATTAACTTAAATCCTTAAAATTCGTTTATCTTAATTAACCTTAATGAGTATTCAGAACTTTTTCTTATTTTTGAGTTTGAAAAAATGTAATCTTTAAAAAATGCTATCAGCTGGGTGATTTAAGTATTTAAAGTTGAAAGAAATTAAAGCAATTAAGTTAATTGGTATTAAAATGTATGAGCTGGGTGATTTAAGTATTTAAAGTTTGGAATTAAGTTAATTGCAATTAAAATGTATAAGTTGAGTAACTTGGGTATTTTAAGTTAGTTGAAGTGTCTTGCATGAGTATAACAAGCTCAAAACTTAATGTTTCTGTTAACTTAAAATAGATAATTTCATAACTTAAAAAATTTTACATAACTGATTGCCTCAAATTTTTTGAGTTTTGTCAACTTATTCGGGATTACAGTGTAGTTGATCAGCATCATATTTGAATTTATCACCATTATATTTAAATGACAAATTTCTGATTTGTAAAAGCAGATTTTTCATTAGAGCCTATTTGTCTTTTTTGCAATCAAATCATTCTGTTCTGCTCACCTTTATTTTTCACATGCAAATGCCTTTAAACAGACTGTTGTTATTAATCCAATTTAAAAGTTTACAATTGTTTTTAAATCTTAAACCATTTTTTCCTGTTTTCCTTTTTTCCATTTTTCTCTTTTTTATAAAACAGTAGATTTAAAACAATGGATAGTTTTTGATTTAAACTTTTAGGATCTAATTTATGACTCTCCACTGAGTTCCAGAATATAATTTGGATGATGTTATTCCAATTTTAAGCTTCAACTCTTGCTGCCTAGCAGACAAAGAGATTTCAGAGCAAGGGATGGCATTTATCTATACTGCTGCTATCATGTCCCTGATAATCAAAGTGGTTTTGTCTAATTCTCAACCCCACCGGATAACGCATTCCGGTCTAACATTTTTGAGCATTTCCGACTCATTCTATCAATGTGTTTATAAAGGGTGCGTCCAGCTTTCCCTCAACATTTCTAATAGGCAAAGAAGAATTGACTTACCACAGCAGCTGAAGATAGAATAGAAGATCCAAACCTCTTGCTTGAAATAAATCCATTTTGTGCTGGAAAGACGTAACTCGCCTGAGTTGGGAGATCACGGAGATGGGTCACCATTTTGTAGGGTCCAGCCAGTTGGTCCAATGACGGTATCCAATGGTGGATGAAGGTTCACTGCATGTTCGGTCTTTCCAGTGCACAATGTTGATTTATATTAAACTTAACTCATATCTGACTCCAATTTTAGTATGAGGTGGTTTAGAATATTAATATGTTTATCCTCGTTTTATCTGACTCCAATTATAAAACATTGAGAAGGTTATTTTGTTTCCGTTCACATTAATTTAGATTATGATTGAATATTCTCTTCGGTTCATCATTTTATGTTATTCTCGTTCATTGGGATCTCTATAACATCCTGAATCTTGTACCGGCCGAGTATACAATTTCTTAAGCACAAGCATGTCAGTCTTGGTCACTAAACAGGGGCGATTGACCGCTATCCTAAAAAGGCAGAACCCTACTTACTCAGATTAGGATATTTTTTATGCGGTCCCCATAGGTCTGCTACCTCCTAAATCAGACAGAGCTATTTAGTCATATAACGATCATTACTATAGAATTAAGCAGACCAGTCGTACTTAAACTAGTAGTAACTTTGAATAATCACTATACTATCTAAATAGTATTAAAAGTTTATCGGGTGAAGGACTATCCCCTTAGATATCCTTTTACAGCCTAAGTATACATGAATAAATGCCAATTTGTTAGTCGGAGCTCTAGAGACATCGTGTAACGTGCCGCAATGCTCCGTCTACCGTGTTCTAGTCCGCTACTAACCTGAACAGGGGCTTGTGGTGCTATGAAATTACCACAATCTACTAAAGATAATAACACGAACTCTGTTTGAATCATTCAAAACATAACAATTTATTAGTCAGGTAAATGTATTATGCCAATTCAATCAGTCAATTCATAAATGATCAATACAAAACATCAAATTATCAAAGATAAATCCAAGATAAAAAAGATGCATTCCTGACTTTGAAATATACATAACATGGGGCAGACCCCATGTTATGGGCTGATCTGGTTAGGCAGAATCGCCTTGAGCTTTTCTTAGCCCTTACCTTAAATAATCCGAGAATTCCCTCAAGAAAGGGGGTGTGAATGTATAACAAAAGGCATTCACACTTAGTGTCACACCCCTCACAGTGGTTCAAAAGATGCCTGAAGTTATATATTTATTGTTCTGATTATGTCTATTTCTGAGAGAATGAGACCATTGTACCAATCGCACTGAGACATTTCAAATGATATCAAACATGATAGTTAAAGTCAGTTTGGTTAATTCTAGAACATTCAAACATTGAAATGACCATATGTGTGAGTTAGGGGGATGAAGCAGACTCAGATGCAAATGCAGCAGGAACTGGTTTTTCCCGCATTCCTCCCTGGTGGGTTGTGAAGTCACCAGTCTCTGTTTTCAGCTCATGTTTTGAATTGTCAAAGATATCAGAATATTTGCAATATTTCAATTCTTACAACATTATACTCTCCGCTGAAGAGGTATATTTTCTTGAAGAGGAAATTGCATCCATTGTTAGCTCAGGTGATGAGATGTATCTTGAGTCCATCGGTGTAAGTAAATAGCAGATGTCTGATATCCTCTTGGCCCTGTATCTTTATCTATCAGTGTCTTTCCCTGTCTTTGTTGGTTGCGTGTCAGCTTCCACTGCAGTTTTAATCTCTGGCAAGGTACTTGAGAATACAAATAGCTGCAATGCAGTTGGCTAAAAGTAAACCTTCCTGTTTGATGCTGTAATCTTCTGCAATCTCCTATTTTACACAGTGATTAATTTCCTGCTCATTGCTCATTTTAAAGGCCACAGCATCATAACATATGAGATAAAGAATGGCTCCCTGTCTCCACTGCTGGTTTAGCAACATTGTACATTGTGCTGACCAGTAAAAACTGCAACCACAAAACTGCAAATGCTCATTTTCTCATTTTCCCCCCTTAACCGCTATTGTTGTCTGGCCATTATGCAAGACTGGAGACACTGGTGATGCTTGGTGAACGTTTAAAATCTCCCTGCTGAATACAGGCTTCTCTTCAGCCAAAAGATCTGAGCACACTGTAATCCACAGACTCTGTACACGCACTCCTTGGACAATGAAAATCAATTAACATGAGACATGTGGGACAGATACATGCTGCTTCTCTTTAGTATGATTCTGATTTGAGCCTCTGAATGTGAATAATTAATTAATAAATCTCTCCCGCAGGAAAATATCCTCATGAGGATCCACTTTCACATCTCTGACGAGACCAAGGAGGACATCTGCACAGCCAAACACTGCATCCCTCACCAGAAGTTTGCCATGACCCTCTTTGAGCAGGTGAAGCCTCTTTATTAAACATGTAGCTATCTTTTCTTTTGATGGTAATTTCAACCTTATGCATTGAGTTTAACCAAAGTCTCTTTAAGGCACTGGTGTCAAACTCCGTTCCAAATGGGCCGCAGCTCTGCACAGTTTAGTTCCAACCCTAATTAAACACACTTGATAAAACTAATTGAGATAAACCTTATTAAAAATAAACCTTATTAAACACACCTGATAAAACTAATTGAGTCCTTCAGGCTTGTTTGAAACTTACAGGTAAATGTGTTGGAACAGGGTTGGAACTAAACTGTGCAGGGCTTTGGCCCTCCAGGAATCGAGTTTGACACCCCTGATTTAAGGCAAGTCATTTCACTCGGCGGCCATCATTGAAACGCCTCTCGGGCATTCTGTCTGAATGGGGAAACATCAATTTCTCCAAAACTACTTGTCAAGCTTACGATTACATTTCATGTTATGAATAACCAATATAATTTCACAACAACTGTCTCTTTAGTTTCATTTCTAAATGTTCGTATTACACAAAATCTGCAGAAACTCACGTCTGGTCCAAGCCCCTTCCCTAGAGAATTGTCATTCGATAGTGATCGCTGATTGGCTCCTGTACTAGAAGGCTGGCTTTATTTGCCATGTAGCGATCGCTGATTGGCTCTTGTACTAAAAGGCGGGGCTTAATTCGCCATATTGACTGTTACACTTCTCCCCATACAAAAGTATACTGGTAACATGTCTTGTGTATCCTGTAGTCTTTGGTTTAACTTCTGTAATGGAATGTATTTCTGAATAGTGTAAAGATTATGAGAAAAGCTTTTATTATTGTGGATTTGCTGGGTCTGAGCAATTCCATGCAAATGTCAACCTTGCAATGAAAGAATTAAGTTTTACCAAAATAACAAAACATTTTTTTGTATATTTTAAAGTACTGTAAAAATATTTTTAATGTTTGCAAACATTTATGTTTGATTTACCAAAATCACACAAGTGCCAGTTTCACATCTGTCACATTCATATCGGAAAAGTGTCACATCCATAACCAAGCTTTTTCCTCATAAATGCAAAAATATTAAATAAAATCAATATTTTGTTCAAAAGATAGCCTCCTTTTATCTTTTCGATTAGCATTCTTTCTTCTGGATCGTGCAGTTCAATTCACAGAATTTCTACAAAGTATGTTGTATAATGTAAACTCGCAGACTTCTTTTGGTTACATGTTTATTTTCCCCATTTAAAGTATAAAAAATGTTTACAGATTGATATTTTTCTGATCTCATAAGTTTAGTTAGCTGTTATGGAAAAAATACACAGATGTTTTAATAAAATGTTAACATATACTTTCTTTGTGTGAATTTTATGTTTTAAGATTTTACTGCAAATGTCACATACATAATGCTGGAATTGCTCATCTATGATTTTATTTATACATATATTATGCATTTCCTTAACTTCATAGGTGTTCAAATTATACATGAGTTGAAAATAGTTTTTATTCTATTAACAAATATAAATTTTCTGTAACAGTAATAGCACCTGACCGTCAAGTCATATCACATCAGAATTTCATTGCAGAGAGATAAAAAGTAAATTCCTGTAAATTTAACAGTGTTTAGGAGGAATGCAAAATGTAAGCGTAAAACTGAAATCATAGTGGCATAGCTGACCTTCAAGTCTCATAGTGTCAGAATTGGAATTTGAATTGCTGTGAAAGTCACAGCACATTTCAGATGATTCATAATTCTGTAAAATAGTACATTTTCTTTTATAATAGCCTGCATTCACGTACAAAATGTTATATTCATGATTTATAATTCTAAACCTTTTATACCTTTGAACATATTTGATTCAACTGAAATGCCTTTTTTGTTTTTTAAATCCTTGAGCAGTCATCATAAATATTCAAAATGTATATAGGTTTAAAATATGGGTCAAAATGTGTGGGAGCCCGAGCCATAGTTAAAATAAATAAAAATAAATAAAAGTTGTCCACTCTTATAAAAAGGTAAATTTAATAAATGTGACTTTCTTTCTCATCTAGTGTGTGTGCAGCAACTGTGGAGCCTCCTCAGACCCTCTGCCCTTCATTCAGATGGTACACTACATCTCTACCACCTCTCTGTGGTGAGCATCACACACATACACACACATACACACGCATACACACACGCACACCCACACACACACATACACACACACACACACACACACACACACACACACACACACACACACTGAAGTGAGTGATGCTAAAGAATGAGGTCATTTTTGAAAGCTGCGACCGAAAAGGGCCACACTGTGCATGGCACCGAAAACATCATGTCCCATACTCTTCTCCAGCCGAGCAAATGAGCTCTCTGCCACATCAAACACAGTGAAATCAATCAGAACAGAAAGAGATTCCCTCAATGGCCTGAAGCACGTGGCAACAGCCAGCTGAAATATTACTCTAGGCCTCCTGGACACCAGTGCCACAGCCTTCAGTCATGGCTGATGAGCGGTCCGATTTAAATCAAGCTTCACAGCAGAGCAGCTTCCCTCTGCAGTCAAACTTTGTCAGGTTTTCCAGCTGCGCAGTTGCAGATATGCTGTTGGTTTCCGTGTCCTGCTTGCCAGTATGGCAGATACTTAACATGAACAAACAGTCTGAAGCACCACAGTGATGAAAGGGCTTCATGAATATTCCAGCATGCGGCTCTGTGATTAAGGAGGATTTTTATGATAATAGCTGACATTGCAGTGGAGACACCATTTCTACTAAGCAAGGACATTGACTTCTTTGAAACTGAGTGCTGCTGCTGTCCTAAGATTTTGTAACTAATAATTATACTCAACTAATGCTTATGGATTAATGAATATAATTTAAAAGATAATTTGTCCAACAAATTCTTCTGTTCAAAAACCTTGTGTTCTAAGTGCAGACTACATAGGGACAGATATGGAGAATAAGTTAAGTTCATAAGTCTACAGCTTTTCATTGCTTATGTGTTGGTACAAAACTTAATTTCAGAAATGGCCAAAGTAGGGCAAGCGGGCCAATGTTGGCCCATGGTAACCTTTGATTTGGCCCGCCATCCAATCTGAGAAGAGATTTAGAATGATGGGAAGGTTTGGGTGAATGCCTTTTAACAGAGGTCATCATTTTATTGTAACCTTTTATTTGTTTGTTCAATTGTTAAGCTACAAAAAGGCACCTGAAATAAAATGTTTGACTTGTGTAGCTTGAGCTTTTTAGGTATATTTACCTTCGGCCCACCACCCTCAATCAAGTTTGGTTTTTGGGCTTTATAAGCAAAAGCTTGGGCACCCCTGCTTTAGTTTGTTCTGATACATTGAAAGTTCTGATACATTGCTGATAGCAAAATTTGGTGTTTTACAAGAATGCTAGGCACATATCTGTTTAAATACATGTGAAAAGACAAGAATGCAAGATGAAAGATATTGAATATTGCGAAAATATTTTTGAATTTTTACTATTCAAAAAAAAATGTAGTCAAATATTCATTCATTCATTTTTTTCCGTCATCACAGTCTCCTCTTTATCAGGATTCACCACAGTGTAATGAACCTCCAACTATTCCAGCATATGTTTTATGCAGAGCATGCCCTTTCAGCTTCAACCCAGTACAGGGAAACCCCCTCACACTCTCACATCCACACATGCAGTCATGCACTATGGCCAATTTAGTTCATTCAATTAACTTATAGCACATGTCCTTGGACTATGGGGGAAACTGGAGCACCTGGAGGAAACCCACACCAACATGGGGAGAACACGCAAACTCCACACAGAAATGCCAACTGGCCCAGCTAGGACTCGAACCAGCAACCTTCTTGCCATGAGGAAACAGTGCCTACTACTGAGCCACCATGTCGCCTGTAGTCAAATAGTATTTATTATTAAAGTTTATCATTATTTATTATTATAATATATTACATTATAATGTGTTATTATTCATATTAGTTTAACAACTTTTTTAATCCTGCAAAAGGATATTAATTATTGTAAATATATTGTTAATATTCAAATATTAGAAATATTAGTAATCTTATATTAAAAAAGAACTTTTCTAATCAAATCTAATCATTTTTATAATCACATTATCTTTTTAAAGGGCTTCTCAGCTTGGTAGAACTTGGTATCTGAGAGAGGCCGTGATTTATATTTCCTACTTTTCAGAAAATCATAAAATACTTCACACGGATGCAGCTCATGTGGCTTTAAAACTGTTTGTTTATAACCCTAACATGGCTGGCCCTGGCCCGGTTGGAAGAGGTGTGCCAGAGTGCGGTTCACTTGGGCTCACTTGTAGTGTGAGGCCGTACTCACACTAGGTACAGTTGCCTCGAACCGGGCCAAAGCACGCTTGTCCCCCCTCCCGTCTTCCCCAACGGCCCGCGCTCACACCAAATCGGGCCTCGGCACGCTTACGTCATCGCTGCTGCTCTGTTCAGTGAGAAGCGCTCTCTATGGCAAGCCTTTTTAGCATTTAAATCTTTGTTTGACTCCATAAATATATTTAGAGATATCTCAAATTATATTTTGACTAGTCATAATTATAATTCCACTACTCAGAATGACAATTAGAGATATCTGCAATTACAATTGTACTAGTACGAAATCAGATTGGAGATATCTGCAAATATATTATGACTAGTCATATTCCTCCATTGACTTCCATTGAAAAATATTTGCAGATATCTCTAAATGAGTTTTGATTAGTCACAATTGTAATTAGATATATCTTCAAATGAATTTTGACTAGTAACAATTGTAATTAGAGATATCTCTAACTGAGTTTTTACTAGTCATAATACATTTGGAGATATCTTTAATTCGTCATATTTAGAGATATTTACAAATATGTTTGAAGATATCTCTAAATAATTTACTACTAGTCGAATTACAGTTGTAGATATCTTGAATTGGATTTTTGACTAGTCAAAATTCATTTGGAGAAATCTCTAATTACAATTGTGACTAGTCAAAACTTAATTAGAAATATCTGCAAATATTTTTCAATGGAAGGTAATGGAGGAATATGACTAGTCAGTCATAATATATTTGCAGATATCTCCAATCTGACTAGTCGAATTATAATTATGACTAGTCAAAATATAATTAGAGATATATCTAAATATATTTATGGATAGTCAGAACAAGGTTTAAATGCTAAAACAGCTTGCCATACGCTCTCACCCAGTAGCACAGTGGAGATTTCTCTAGTTATATCCTTAGTCGTTTGTTATGCATTGACATGGAGTCAAATATTTCGCCAAACAGTCCTTAGGGATGCGGTGACACGCAGTCAGATATTTCACCGGACTGATCCGCCACTTTTGGCGCTCATAAACAATCATAAAGCTCTCGTGCTGCAGGAAGAGGAGGTCTGCTGAAGGCGCACAGCTGACGTGCAGTGAGGGGTTTGCGTCTTTAAAAAACTACGGCAGATCACTTTGCGTTCAGTGATTTGCGATCACTGAACAGTAAGAATGATTAATAAATCCATATGAAACAACCCCTTAAAAGTCACGTCTCGCTTTCAGTTTCGGGCTTTGGTGCGTTTTGCACTCACACACAAGCGTACCGCGCCAAAGCCCAAGTGATCCGCGCTCAGGCACACCTCTTCTAACCGGGCCAGGGCCGGCCAAGTGAACCGTGCTTGAGCCCGATTCAGCGCACTCACACTTCTCAAACGATCCGGGAAACGGGCCTGGGCACGGTACGGATGGCATAGTGTGAGTAGGCCCTGAGTGCAAAGCACGCCTGAGCCCGAAACTGAAGACGAGAAGTGAATTTTAAGGAACTGATTCATATGTATTTATTAATCATTCTTACTGTTCAATGAAAACAAACTTTCATAGATTGTTAAAGACGCAATCCCCTCTGCACGACAGCTGCACCTTTAACAAACCCCATAATTCCTGCAGCATGAGAACTTAATGATTGTTTATGTTCGTTAAAAGTAGCGGATCTGTTTGGCAAAATATTTGACTGTGTGTCACTGCATTTCAAAATGATTTAACAATATAAAGAAATTTTCGCTGTGCTGACCGAGAGTGCTTCTTAAACTAATTAGCGCATCATTGATGACGTAAGCGTGCTCAGGCCCAAATGCAATGTGAGTGCGGGAAGTCGAGGGAGACGGGAGGGAGGACATGCGTCCTTCGACCTGGTTCAAGTACATAGTGTGAGTACGCTCTTAATGTAGGCTGTTTGTTACCAATAAAGATGGTGGCCCATTCATAAACTTAACCAATTTTTAGCATATCGACTTGAAGCATCAAATATAGCTCTCATATATTCAAACTTTATAAAGGCTTTGGTAAAGAGGCACGTGTCCAGGTGACATTGAGATATGCCTGACTGTTTCCCTGAGATCTGCCTGAGCTGCGGTGTTGCTCCAGGCACGCAGTGTTGCTGTGTCTTTGAGGTGCAGTGACCTCTACTGCAACAATAAGATCAAACCGGTCTGGGCTGTGACCTTATAAACACCCTCCAGAATACAAAAAACACTGTACACAAACACATCAATCGCTTATTTAAGCTTCTAGCGTCACAAATATCATTTTGTGTTGTAATCATAAGCCGTTTAAAGGGCAACAAATACTTTACCCTTCACTTTTTTTCTGTTGAACAAAATATATTTTGAGGAATGTTGGAAACCGGTATCCATTGCGTTCCATTGCGTTTAATTGCGTTTTTTTTTTCCTACTGTGGATATCAGGGACTCCAACATTTTTCAAAATATGTTTTTTCTTACTATTTTCATAATGGCTTGGAATTACTTGAGGGCGAGTAAATGTATTGTTTTTGGTGAACTATTCATTTAACCTAAAATATATAGGTTATGATAAAAGGTTATAATGATACATTATTGGCTGTGATATTTAACATGTAATGTGTTTTTATGCTACAGTAACCAGGCCGTGCGGATGCTGGAGTGCCGAGAGAAACCCACTCCAGACATGTTCGGAGAGCTGCTGAGGAACGCCAGCACCGTGGGAGATCTGCGCAACTGCCCGGTTAGCATTACTACACACTGCTACACACCCAGTTCCATCAAATCAAGTGCTAATTAGGCATAATGAAGCCTTGAAGTGTGTGTTTGTGTACGTGTGTGTGTGTGTGTGTGTTTGTGTGTGTGTGTGTGTGTGTGTGTGTGTGTGTGTGTGTGTGTGTTTGTGTGCGTGCGTGCGTGCGTGTGGATGTGTGAGTGTGTGCGCGCGCGTGTGTGCGTGTGGATGTGTGTGTGTGTGTGTGTGTGTGGATGTGGCACTTGTCAGGGTTTGAATAGGATTGCGGCCATTGAGTAATCTCTGGTCAAAACAGGACGCAATCAGTGGAATGTTAATTTGTCTCAGCCCTGAGGAGGACCAACTTCTTACGCAAAACACACATACACACTTGCTTTCATGTCAGATCAGGATTTCCTTGGAAAAGGGATGACTGCTTATCACGCTGCAAAGATAATTTGCTTAAACCTACGTTTTGTTTTTCAGCAGAAATATCAAACATCCTTGAAACCAGATATATTTACTTATAGAGGTAAAATGATGTAAGGAACTCCACTTGGAAAGATGATTTGTTGTTACTATTAAAAATGAATAATAATGCATTCAAATAAAAGTGACAGATCTGTTTTTAACATAATTTCAAATTCTGAATATAATAAATGTGACTGAAGTGATGATGCCGAAAATTTAGTTTTGCATCACTGGAATGACTAAAAACAAACTTATTAAAGGACATATTAAATAGAAGCATTTTTAAAGTGTCTTAACATTTGACCATATTCTTGTTTACTGTATTATTATTTATTTTTGGTCTAGTAAATTTAATCCGTGTGAGCCTAAAGGCCCGGTATATTTTAAAATACTTTTTTGTTCTTCATTTGTGGCCAAAAAGAAATTTGAAAAGGCTGAGTGACTGTATATCTTAAATATTTAGAATATTTTCCAGTTTATTTTTGTTGCTGACTTATGACATTTTCAGACTGCACGATTTTCAAAGTAGTCGTGTCACAGCTGTTTTCACACTGCATGACTATCTGGGGTAGCATTTTGTCGGTGCTGTGTTTACACTGCAAGATGGATCGGTGACAAGGGGGTTTCACACTGCATGACTTTACTACAGGATAATCACAGACAACTTTGTCTCAATCCGCAAAGATACCTCTTTCACATCCAAACACATGCAAGAAGTGACACGGAAACAACGCCTGGTCACATAGTTTATCTTTAGTTATTACTTACATAATGAGAAAGAAGCCAATGGGGAAGAAAATGTTCTTATTTTGCTCACCTTTTGAAGGGAGTTTGCCATTTCTCCCCAAATTTCTCCTTTTTTTTCTTTTTCGAGCCGGTTGTGGTATTGCTCAGATGACACATCAAACAGACACGGTTGCCCCTGCCAAATTTACACCATTATTCCTCAATCTCTTGGGTAAAATTGGACTTAAAAGAAGCACTTAACTTCTCCCCCAACCTCCCACTGGCCTGCAGGTACCCACTCTATTGGATGCTGCTCTCTCATTAGCTATGTTTCCATCCACCTATTGATTTTAGATAAAGAAAGGATTGATGCAGCTCCTCCTACTGCAGCAAAATCAGTTTTTACTGTTGATATTTAGCGCCAGTTAATCAGGAAGTGACGATTTTGTTTTCTTTGACTCGTTGGATGGAAACGCAGCTTTATTCGCACATCTTTTATTCGATAATCTAGTTTTGCATATAAAGTTCATTCGCATTTTAGGATGGAACATAGCTATTGACTCTAGGTAATTGCAAATGTTATTTTTTAATCAGCTCACATTTCAGACTGCATAATTTTGAATCAAGATTTAGCATGACAAATATTTGACTGGTGTCTGCGACTTATCCACGATTTGCTTAGACTAAGATAGTTCAATGTTTCCTATAGGATTTTTTCCAGCTGTGGCGGCAGATCTTGTACACAAATCTACTAACTACATATGGCGTTATTTCGATGACAAATGAAGAAATGTTGTGAGCGCATTATTACAATTCGAGAACGCATTTTTGTAATACGAGCATGCAAATCTCTTTGCTTGCATGCCTATTTCCTCTGCTCGTGCACAAAACCTCTTGCACGCCCTCAAATATATGCTGCTCAAATCTGCTCAAGCGCAGTTTTTTGTGCACTCTCAAAAAAAACACTGCTGAATTGCGATTTAGCGCATTTATGTAGTATGTCTCTAACATTTATAAGATTTGCTTGAAATATTTAGGAATCTCTCCAATAGACCTACAGAGCAGCATTAATGCGTCCTGAAGTAAAGTGAAACAGCTATAAACTCCTTCAAGATAAAGTCATTGTATGCAGAACCACAGACCTTTATTTATTAGTAAAGTATAATTATTAAATACTGTGTTCATCTTAACTGAAAGCTAAGTCGTGTTTGCTGGCCTCATGCTTCACGCTCCTGTCAGTCAGTCAGTCTGTCAGCACGTAACCTTAAAGGGTTAAACAAATAACGCACAGCACTACTACGGTTACAGTTGCGCTGTTATAATTCACTTACCTTTTAATGCATTTTAGTGTGATTATTACCCGCTATTATTTGGTCCAGGCGTTTAGGACCAAAGTGAAGGTTTTGGGGAATTTGTTTTAGTCATAAACACCTTTGAGCTGCCATTTAAACTTTTTCAAACAGCAGAAATGAACTCAAAGCAAAATTTGTTTTGGCATTAAATAACATCATTTGAGTTTTCATTTTTGTTTGAAGTTTATCAGGAGCTTAAGAGACTTCTTTCATGAAATAAAGTCTTTATTAAATAAAAGTCTTTATTATGAAATAAACCATTGTTATAGAGAAATCTAACAATTAATTTAATGCTGTTTGTGCTTAAAAATAAATATCTTTTTAATAGAGTAAGAAATGTAAACATGATAAAATAATGATTAGCTTAGATTTATCTGGTATTCATATGGGATAGTCATTCATTCATTCATTCATTCATTTATTTATTCATTTTCCTCCAGCTTAGCCCAGTCCTGGGAACACCCATATGCACTCATTCACACGCACTCATACACTACAGAAAATTTAGTTTATTCAATTCACCTATACTGCATGTCTTTGGACTGTGGGGGAAACTGGAACACCCGTAGGAAACCCACGCCAACACGAGGAAAACATGCAAACTCCACAGTAACCTCAACTGGTCCAACCAGGACTCGAACCAGTGACCTTCATGCTATGATGTGACAGTGCTAACCACTGAGCCACCATGTTGCCCCATATGGGATACTATCAGAATAGTCAGTATAGTATTAGTTGATGTTCTGCTTTGTTTTCTAGTATTAATAAATGTAATCGCGTTGTGAAATTTGACACTAAAACAAGATCTGCTATCTTGACCCTCAGGAATATGAAGACATGCTTCACATGCAACCTAAACATACACAAACATACAGAATATGGGTGTGCAAATGTGATTTGTGTACCGTGACTGTGAGCCGTGAGAATTTATTAGTTAAAACGCTTTTAAATGTTTATGCATTTCATTAAGCTCCATTATAAAAATGCTTGTTTTATTCTTCCTCTTTCCATGTGTCACCTACAGGGCAACTGTGGAGAGAAGCTGCGTATTCGGCGTGTCCTGATGAACTCCCCAGAGATCATCACCATCGGCCTGGTGTGGGACTCGGACCACTCTGACCTGGCAGAAGATGTCATTCATAGCTTAGGGACTGTCTTGCGGCTCGGAGATGTAAGACTTGATTTTTGTCAGTGAACAACATGCCCCAAAAAGTGCGACTTACACAAATCGCTTGATAAATGCACAAACTCGCAGCCGAAAAGTGATACAGTCAGTCAGGCTCAAAGCAGCATCTGAGATCACTGTGATTCGCATGGGGTTTGCAGGCAAAACTTGTCAAACTTGTTGCAATTACAATGACACGCACATAAAAGCAACTGGCTGCCTCTGTGTTCCTGCGTCTTTGGACAGAGGGCGGGCACTGGGCGTCCTAAGTGGGTTAGCATTTCACGAAGGACAGGGTTCACATTTCAATATGAAACGTAAACCATTTTAACCAGCCCCAAACAAATGATCATTTTAAACATCGAGAGTGCTGATTTGATCATCTCCATCAAAGATGTTTTGAAAGACCTCTTGATAACGGCATCGTCTTTTTGGGGGTTTGTTTGCATCTACATTTATGAGTGTAAATGCGAATGCATTCATAAGTAATATGCAATCTTTCCTGCTTCGTTTAACCTATAGCTGTTCTACCGGGTGACAGAGGACAAGGCCAAACAGGCGGAGCTCTACCTGGTGGGCGTGGTCTGTTACTATGGCAAACACTACTCCACTTTCTTCTTCCAAACCAAAATCCGCAAGTGGATCTACTTCGATGATGCTCATGTAAAAGAGGTAATCTGGGAATGTTCATGGGGTTTGTATATACATGCCCTGATCTAATGTTGCTTGCTTGCTCTGTCTATAAGGAGTTAGTGTCGAATTATTAATTAGGATAGACTGGTGTGTTGGTGCCCCAGAGGCTCCCAGCATGAGTTGGGTGGGTCGATGGGTGTGTATATGTGTCTGTGTGTGTTTACACCATGCTTGCATGCTGTTTTACATAATTCGACAGTTTGTTGACTCACCACTCAGAAGTTTGTGCATGTATTTGTGTGTGTGTTCAGGGTTGTGTGCACATTTAAGTAACTTGCTTCATGTCAATAGTCATCATCGGTGCACATTAGTGTACAGTCGTAACATAAAAACAGGAATAGCACAATAAGTAGAGCAGTTAGAGAACATGAGTCATTGCTAGGCACAAATATTGAAATTCTGACATAGCCAGATTGTATACAAAAGTTTAGAAATTGATATTTTCATTCTGCAAGCAATAATTCAGTCTGGCTTATTGCGGATTGAAAAGATTCAGAATTTAAAGACTCAATATCTGCACAAAAATATTAAAGGGCACATAGTTTACCCCTTTTTATGATTTAATATTATTATTATGGTTCTTCTGAGTGTGCCAGTTTAGGTTTAGTTCAACACACAGTACAGATGTTTTTATTATAATGTGTTAAAAGGTGTCATGTTGGGGGCGTTTACACAGTTTGCTGTTTTAGGGGTGTGTTGCTTCACAGTATCGGCTTCCCGCCCAATGTAACAAAGGGGCGGAGCCAAGAGCTCCTACGCTCTGTGTTTGCAACAGACAGGCTGACAGACAGAAAGAGAGCTAAGCTAAGCTGAGCTAGGATGAGCATTCAGCTGTTCGTGTATGAGTCGGACACAGATTACAAACCCGCGCCGAGCCGCTGACCTGAAGCTCTGCCCCATGCACTGCGACAGAAACCCACGACGCGCCAAGCCGCTGACCTGAAGCTCCTCTGCGTGCACCGCGACAGAAACCTACTCCGCGCCGAGCCGCAACAGAAACCTACGCCTCAAAAAATAAAAATCTGGTAAAAATCTGCAGATTTCTGCTGAATTATTTTGGGAGTGTCATAACTAAAACCTTAATATTTGAAATGAAAAATAATATCTTTTAAACTTTTATTTAATGTTTAAAATGCAAATCCAATTAGATTCACTTCATTTGCTTAACAAAGCAAGTCTCTCATATAATGTATCTACAAAAAGATCTACTTTTACTTTACAAACTGCATTGTACATAAATCAGATAAACATTTTCACATTCCTCAAATATATTACTGTAATGAACTGAATGAATATAGATTTACACACATTTACTCTTGTAAATATACAGAATTAATGATGGGTTAAAAATCTACAGAATTCTGTGCGCGCAGATTGCGTGTGGGCCAAGATATGAGTGATCAAGTCTTTGCTCTTACCAATCTACCTGACCCACCTGCAAAGACGTTCATTACTGTAAATATCAATGCTGACAAAACACTCTCAGTACACTAGACTAATCTATCAGATGCAGCAACCCCACGCAAACAAAAGCAATAAAATGCAACCCACTAGCCTAATGTGAGTCATTTATATGATTGAATATAATACTAAATAAAAATGAATAAACCTCTGAATGTGTTCTGTGAAAAAACTAAAAGTAAATCATTTTGGAAAAGGTCTCGTTTAAAAATCATCATGAGTTTACTTTCACTTTAGATTATGTTCACTGTAATTGTATAAAATGGTTTAATTGATATTATTGTTATATTAAAAATCTTGTATGCAATTATAAATAGAGCTTGTTAAATTAGCTATTTAAATTACATTTTAATTACAAATTAATTCTATATTAAAATCATAAAAAAATTTTTTGTGAAAAAAAAGTGGGATTTTTTTAAAAAGGTTATAACGCCCAGCTCATCATAAGAGCCTTTTATCACCATATTGTAGTGCTTTCTGAAGGATCACATGACACTGAAGACTTATAAGTAATGATACTGGAAATACAGTTTGTCTATCACTATTACATTTTACAATATTAAAATAAGGTTCTTAAGCTGTCATTTAAAAAAAGGTATATGCATATTTATGTATGACTGATAACTGAATTTTGATTAAATAATATTTATTAGTGCTAATAAATGCTACATCCTGTATCATGTTGGAATTAAAAAATAAATTGTAGACATGGTATGGTATGAAAAACGAATATTAATTTTATGCATTTTTAGTTGTTGTAAATATCAAATGGAAATAAATCTATCATTTAAAAAACTAATTTTAAAAGAGGCCAATTTCTAATACAAATACATTGCAGGTTTATAATATAATGACTTCTAAAACTAAAAGATTTTGGCATATTCCTGTATTGGTAAAAACAAGATTATGGAAAAACATAAGTCTGTTATGTCACGCAAAGTTTTATGTTCATAATAACAGTGCAGGACTGTGAATCCTGGACAGTTGCATACAAAGCAGCTTTTTCCATGGGGTCTGGCAAGCCTATGCTGACCTGCACGTGAGCTGCGCAGATCTCTTACAAAAGCCCTCTGAAAACAAGGATATCCCACTATTGTTTATGACCGCAGCTGGACAGTAATAGGGCGTGGCCTACAGGGAGAGACCGCCATGATAGTCCACCACAAACAAACACACTCTCTAAAACACACTGTCCCACTCACACCTTCATGCTTTTATGCATGCTGGTTTGTCACTGTGGCTTGCTCGGACATCCTGTCTGCTTATGGAGGAAGCGTAGAAGAGCTCGTCTTTTTGGGAAGTTGGAGTCTGGGTAAGATTTGTCTGAAAATGCCGGAAAAGGGTTGAACATGGATTCTAGTCTCAGTTTTGTTATTTAGGTTATCAAGAACATTTCAGCCTGATTCTCTACTTTTAGTTTTATATTAAGTGTTTATATTAAGAGATTTTTGAAAAAGAAAATAAAAAGTTTAACTTTTTAAATGGTCTTAAAAGTTGTTATAAATCTTTTCTTTTCTCTCTCTCTTAGATTGGGCCCAAGTGGAAGGATGTGGTGTCTCGCTGTATAAAGGGGCATTACCAGCCATTACTGCTGCTCTATGCTGACCCCCGGGGGACGCCAGTGTCCGCTCAGGATTTGGCTTCACGTTTAGACCTACATCACTACACAAAAGCGTACTATGACAGTGAGGATTCAGGTACATGCACATCAGCAAAAGGCCAGTTTATGTGTAGAATGCTTCATTTCTTTTATTCGTTTAAGAGGAAGTTTTGCATGCTAAATTAGTTACAGGGGTAGTTTACCCCAGTGAAATGACTTTCAATGACCCTCAAGTGGGTTCCACCTTTACTAGTTTGTTTGAACACAAAAAGAAGATATTTAGTAGTAAACCAGTAACCATTGACACTCATAGTAGGAAAAACAACTCTTATGGAAATCAAAGGTGACCGGATTATCTTTTTATATCTTGTTTTGTATTCAACAGTAGAATGAAACTAAAACAGGTTTGGAAAAAGTGACTGGTGTGTAAATATTAAAACAGTTTTAACAATTATTACATAATGCGTTGGTTTATAGCAAAATTTTACTGTTGTAAAGCTGTTGCTGTGAAAACAAAAATCATTATGTTTACAATTAAACATTGGTAATGTGGTTGGCAGATATTCCCTGTAAGAATATATGAAATGTTTTTACAATTATTAGGTTATATGTCTATATAGTTGTTCATGTTTACTTATAGCTCATTGTAAGAGGCCTGTCCATTAATCATTGCCAAAACTCTAGAAAACGCATACAATCCTGGCCATCACTCACAATATTATAATGTTTTTTGCGAGCACTTCCCACTCAAATTTTTATTGAATATGTACAGATGTCTTTTAAAAGCAAAAATCTAACTTTTTTTTTGTTTGTTAGCTTCATTGACAAGCCACAACTCTTTTCTTTGTCTTGTCAGGGCGTGAGCCGTCAATTTCCAGCGACACTCGTACCGACTCCTCCACAGACAGCTATAGCTATAAGCATTCACACTCCCACCACGAGTCTATGGCCTCCCATTTCTCCTCTGACTCCCAGGGAACAGTCATCTGTAATCCTGATAATGACTCTGCCTCTCACAGCAGCCTGGAAACTACAGGTACATCAGTATTTACACTGCCTGGCCAAAACATTAACACTCTTAATGTTTCATTGGAATTTCTTTAAATTATTTTGACAGCCTTGTGCAGTGTTGCAAAGTTCATTCCAATCAAGAGTTACATTCATTTTTGTCGGGAACTTGTTTTGGCAACGAAAATACCCCCATGTAGTATATATATATATATATCCATGCAGTAGTTGGTTTGTCAAATGTGTTCTGCTTATGAAGCGTAGTACCCAAGCAATCCACGATCCAGTGCTTGCTGCACCACACTTATAATAGCATTTGCTTTAATTTTTGCTTTGTTTTTGAGTTGTTTTTCAGTATATGACACCCATCTTTCCAGCTAGAGAGATGCTTTTAAAATATTGGTAAAGGAAAGATGTAAGATTTCTTATAATTGGTAGTGTAAAAAATGCATATTGCGTACATTAGCGTTGTTTTCAAACAGTTCAGTGCTGTAAACGGTAACACTTTAAAATAATAGTCCATTAGTTAATGTTAGTTAATGTTCAGTATTTTCTAACATGAACAAACTAGTAGTAATACTACAGTATCACAGTATTTATTCATCTTTGTTAATGTTAGTTAATGTCATTTAATTTGGAGTTCATTTTAGTTCAAATTAACTCCTGGTTCGTTAACTTATGTTAACAAGCACAACTTTGGATTTTAATAATGCATTAGTAATTATAATGTAATCATTAACTATGATTAATTAATGCTTTACAAGATTATTGATACTTAATTAATGTTAGTAAATACATTAACTAACGTTAACTAATGAGCTATTATTCTAAAGTGTTACCCTGTAAACGTGTTGTTATTGTGTTTTCATTTTTTTTTACAAGAATGATATTTATTTTATTATTTTTAGTAATTATTTTAAGTATAAAAATATAAAAAGAAATCCTCTTTGGTCAAATTGTACATAAAAAAATCTAGATCTTAATAAAAGCATCTCAAAATTATGTTTTTCCTAAAAATGTTTCTTAAAACCCTGACTTTTTTTGTCAACAGCATAGTTGATTTTTATTGTTGTTATTTTTTGAAGGTCCTTTGACTGACAGTGATACAGTGCAGCGTCACACTCTCAGAAAAGACGGGGTCTTGGACAGAAAAGCAGGAGTTTTAGACAGGAAACGAAGTGCCAGCAGGCCACGAAAATTCGAGGCTCGGGGTGATTCAAGGAATCGTGTCTCTAAGACAGATGAAGTGTTGTCTGCCGGATACCACAGCGAAGGTGTGCAATTAAACAGTACATTGCTGCCTGTCACCAAACCACAACATATTTTAATGAAAACCTCCTTTATAATCCATAACTGTGGTCAGCTGATTGATGCTCTGACAGGTCATTAGTGGATGGAGTAGGATGTTTGACAATAAATGCGAGCGGCATTAGTCATCGCTTTGGCTTGTTCTGGCTGTGCACTGCAATATTTGGTTATGTAAAAATAACATTCCCTCTTCCTCTTTTTTTTTTCAAACTGATTTCCTCTCCCTCTCTTTTACAGGTGAGACTTTAAAAGAGCAGCAGGTTCCTCGTTCCCTACCTAAACCAAGCTCCAGTCGACTTCGAGACTTTAAGGAGACTATGAGTAACATAATACACAACAGGCCACTTTCCGCATCGTCCTCTGGATCTGTTTGCCCACCCGACTCCACAATTAAAGTCAGAGACTGGGAAGCAGACAGCACCAGTAGCGAGTCCAAGTCAAGCTCTTCTGGAGGGCGATACCGTCCACCGTGGAAGCCTCGGCGTGAGGCACTAAACATCGACAGCATCTTTAGCAGGGAAAGACGCAAGCAGGCAGGGTATAGTCCACTAGGAGCCCTGTTGTCTGAAGACACCGGACCTCAGGTGGGCTTGATGTCCACAAAGCAGATCACTTTTCAGGACATACCAGGACCTCTAAGACGAGGCTCAGAGCAGCCCCCTCGGCTCATCCAGAGGATGGAGAGTGGCTACGAGAGCAGCGAGAGAAACAGCAACAGCCCTGTCAGTCTGGACATGCCTGTTAGCGAGGCCACCACTAATGGCATGCACAGGTATGATGCAAAAACATTCGCTAGAACCGATTTTTATTAGCATCTCATTAATCATTTTCCTTCTCATCACAGCTTACAAGAAGGAGCGATGATAAAGCCTCCACCTGATGTCAATCCGTCATGGAAGACTGTCACCAAATCCAAAAGCAGCAGTGCCCTATTGCAGGACGTCAAAGCATCAGTCAAGGGCAGCAGTCACACGAGTTTAGGTGTGTACGGTACGATCGTGTGTTTACAGTCATCAAACAGTCGTCATGTGGGTGATTTCACCTATTCTTTACTTTAGGATGTGAATCAGTCTTTCCAAATGTTTACACTACATATCACACATTTTTTTCTCTCAGTATATGGACTTAATATAATAAGCAAGCAGTATTGAGCATAATTTAGTGCAATCAGCCGCAAAATACATCCTGTTCCTTTTTGTGAAATGTTATCTCTGTATATCTGTTATGTAAACTGAGGAACATGAGTCTGCCCTGGAGAACTATCAGCTGCTATATCTGTTTGTGCTTCTCCATGTGACCAGAATAGATATGTTTGGTCACCGCCTACTGTTTGTTATATATCATTTTGTGCACATCAAAGCTATGAGTCTCTTAGGCTGTTATTACGCTGGAAGATACTATATTTTGACACGCATCCCATTTTTATATTCCATCTGTTTACATTTGCTTGGAAATGTGTTCCATTTAAAAAGTATGCATCAGCAAATGTATCAGAATACTGACATGTCAACACAATGATTGCATGGTCTTTTTTATATTACCGGTATTAGTGAAACCTTGGAGACTGATAGGGTCGAGTAAGACTCAGACTTAACAGAGTAAAAATCTAATGCAAGAATTTTATGTAATCAGTGTTGTAATATTGTGTCTGGTTCTTGAATCTGATTGGCCAATATCCGTGTGATATTCTGCAATAACAGCACTCGTGATTTGGCGAGTAAAAAATGACATAGGCGGGTAGTGAAAATTTGGGAAGTTTTGCAACAGCGTGCCCGCCAGCTCTGGTCTTTACTTATAAACCTGTTATGATCTACCAAAGAGATGCCTTACCCCCTGTTCTTCACTTACAAACGCTTAAAACGGTTGTGATCTCCCTTGGAGACGATATTTATAATTTCTGAGAGACAGCGCCTCGGCGGCCATTAACCTGTCATTGAGCATTAGGGATGTGCACAGCAATGCTGGAGTATCGAAATATTGATCATTTTAATTTGGTATTAATATATTTTTTAAGTATTAATATTTTAACTATATTTTAATAATTTCCACATGACTAAATGTTTTAGCACTGTGTACAGGATTGTCAGTGACGCTTTGTATATAAGACGGTACACCAATCAACCTGCTATGGAACATGACGTAAACAATCATGTGCCTTTCAGAAAACTTATGTAGTCAACACACGCAAGTCGCACACTTCTGGATTGAAGAATGGTATGATGGCAGAGAGGAAACGTAGCAAGGTGTGGTGCTACTTCTCATCAGCTGGAAAAGCACTGCGTGATGCAATATTTGTGATAAGAAAGTTGTACACAGCAACAATACAAGCAGCTTTAATAAACAATTACAGATAACACGCACTGAAACTTAAAAGCAGAACAAAAACTAGATGCACAGTGTTCTTCTGCTCAGTCTCCCTCTGTCCAAAAATTAACATGAGTTCTTTACATGTAATGACCTTTTTTAAAATTAACATTATTTAGAAAAAATCACATTAACATGTCAAATTATAGTGGTATCAGTATCGTACAAAAATTGAACAAAAAGTATCGGTATCATATCGCATTCAAAAATTGTGGTATCGCCCATCCCTATTGAGCATAGCAAAGACGGTTGACGCTGTCCATCCACAAGATGGCATTAGAGACCGCATAATAAGCCCTTACAGGACTAAAACAGTGTCATTTCTTACTACAGCTGATCAAATCAATATTAAACTGGTAAGTGACTTTCTAAGTCGATGTCTCTCTTTTGTATGTTCTGTATTTTTCACCACAGTAATTGTAGTGTATTGAATTGGCCACTTTTCGTTTAACTCTTTTTCGTTTTACTTTTTAGTTGGCCATCTGTTTGAGTCTCCTATTTTCGTTACCACAAACTAGTTCAGTAAAAAGAAAGAAAAAAAGAAGAAATGCCTGCATGTGTTTAGCGTTTTTCCTAATCGCAAACACAACATTATTCTGGTAGTAATTGTGTTGCTTTGGCTTTTTCGGGGTTAACTATTGTGATCTCCCGATTGCAGCAATGAAATACTGGGAAATTACTTTAGACTAATGACATTTCATGCAGTTCAGTCGTATAATATTAAAATGTCAGCAAAAAATATCATTACAATCATATTTAACGCTAGAGAAATATTCAAATACTAGCTCTGAAGTGGCGTTTGTGAATTAGTAACAGCTTCTGCTGTTTTTTGCCATCAGCTGCAGATATGAATGAATGGCGGAAGAAAGTAGTTCCTCATACAAAAGGATTTTTAGACTCTCTGTTTTGACTTTTTTTTTTATACACACGATTATGCTGTCGAACTGTTGTATAAATGCGATATCACACTCGCAGCAGTGTGTATGGCTGTATATTGTCACTAGGCGTGCTAGGGCATGCCTCCCAACAGTGCCGATACATACAACCATATCGCACTGCTACTCGTTTGATATTGCTCATATGAAGTCCAACAAGTAATAGTGTTGTAATCTTATATATATTACAACAAACTCAATATAGTAGTTATATTTTTATGAAATTGCATATTTTATTTGGACTTTTTTTAATGTAAGGTTTATCTTAAGAAATGTGCTTTTATCATTTTAAGCAGCTTAATCAGTCATTATAATACTTTGTTTAATTTAGTTACTGCATAACATTTCTTTTCTATTGGTCTTATTTTAGTTTTATTTAGTTTCAGCTTTATTAAAGTTTGACAATATTTTTTTAGTTACTAAGTTAATACTCAACACTGCAAGTATGAAAGTTGTTTGCCAAAAATAAGTTCTAATATCCTTTTATTTTTGCTTTTGCTTTCATACAACAAGATAATCTAATCTGTGTTCTGGTTGAAAATGAAAAACAGAATTGGTTGACAGTATAAATGCAGCAATAAATCATGACAATTTCTTTAATATTCTGTTGTTTGTGTTTATGAGCAGCAGGTGAGGGCCGCAGTGAACTGGACGAGCTTCAGGAGGAAGTGGCTCGCCGGGCCAGAGAGCAGGAGTTGCAGAGACGAAAGGAAAAGGAGAAAGAGGCAGCCATGGGCTTCAATCCCAGACCCAGCAAGTTCATGGATCTGGATGAGCTCCAGAATCAAGGTAAGGCATGAGCCTGCAGCGCAAGGGTGAAGGGAGCGGATCTGCCTCCGGATGCATTTCTTGGGTTTCTGCTGTGGCTAAACCTTTGGGGCTTGGGACTGCACGTGTGTGTGTGTGTGTGTTTGTGAGTGTGTAAGAGAGATGCAGGTGTGCTGGTTTCCCTGCTGAAAGCGCTATGCTGTGCTGTTTGTCACCTGCAGGGAAAGGGGAAGGCTTTGAGCGCTGTGTGTTGGAGGCAGAGTCTTTGTTAGATCAGTCTCTGAGGCTGGAACAGGCAGGAGAGGTGGCCGCCGCTCTGTCTGTGGTTAACGAAGCAATGTGTAAGTAATCCTGCCCTCAGCCTGCTCCTGCTATCACTATTGCCTTGTGTTTGTGTCTTTACATCTTTGTCTTTAAGTGTGTTTTTCAAAAGTGCAAGGCTTTGACAGGTCACATCAGATTTGCCATATTTGTCAATCTGTCTACAGACAGTAGTAGGTCCGTTATTTAAATGTCTCTTCTTTTTTTTCTGATCAGATTCAAGCCGCGAGTTCATAACGGTACATGCCGGTTTAACTGTAACCATAGAAACCAACTAGCAGACCATATGAAGTGATGTGATTAAATCCAGCCTTAATGAATTCAGCCTATAGTGTATGATGTACTAGTTTTTCAATATTTCCAATGTGATATGAACATGTTAAGATACACTGAGCCAATAATCATGTCCCCTGATAAATGTTCAGCATCTGTCAGTTGAATAAAAAAATTAATAAAAGACTTAAAAGAAAAGAGCATGGGGCAAAAAATACCTTTTTAAATACAGTTATTAAACTTTCCCTACCACTGCTAGAGACTGTCAGGGATTTTGACAGCAAATATAACAACGACAACATAACAAACAACACCACATAAATGAAAATTATCTAGTCCTGTTTTTAATTGCATAGTACTTATATTTAAGTACTTAAATTGTATTTAATGTATTTACGTATTTAAATGTATAGTATTTTATTTCCAAAATGGGTGCAACACAATTTTTTTGATGATGAACATTTGGTGAAAATGCTAAAAATAAACCTCCTGGCACTGACTGAAAATTTTCCAGAGAAATGTTTTTTATTTTTGATAAAATTTATTATTATAAATATATTTACTATATTGGGTATTGTATTAAAAACTTTAGTATCCAACAAGTAGGCAACTCCATGATTTATAGCTCAGTCTTATGCATATGCTATAGATAACTGTAATCATAAACATTATTAACAATAAAATTCAGCTATTTATTCATCTTTTCTTTCTCAAGAATAAACTATATTTTATGTTTTGTCCACGTTCGCAACTTTTTTTCTTTTTAAATATTGTTCTAAAAGGCCACTTGAAACATGTTTGTTTATTTAAAAATAATGTTTTTAATCATCATAATGCAATATCTCTACAAATACCAGTCAAATAGTTAGAGCTTGTTTTTTAAGTTGAATTCGCTCAGAGAGAGCTCATGAAGCACGAATGCTCTTTTTGTGGCAGACTCATTAAAAATAAAGTTAGCATGAAAATTGACCCATCTATTTTCTAAGTGCATGTAATGGATCATATTGTGAACAGTTCATCCATGCATAGGTTTCAATTTAAAAAACAGTTTTGACCTCATAATGTTTCATCAAAATGTCATGCATGACTGGACCTTCCAGTGAAGATAGCAGATGTATGCTGGCTATCTCCAATCATTCAGTCTACCTAAACACTGCTTCAGCAAATATTTGAAAACTTTACAGAATTTTAGAACTGCATTGAACTTAACAAACTTCTTTATTTCTTTCTTAAAGGAACATTTTTACAAATCCTCTACAGTTGAGGTTTACTTTTTTTAATCCATTCAGCCAATCTCAGAATATGGTGGGAGCACATTTAGCTTCTCTCAACATGGATCATTGTAGCTGATTTCTTGGTCTGATGGAAGCACTTTTAGCTTAGATTAGCAAATATCATTTGCTCATTTTCCTGTTTAAAGCTTGACTCTTCTCTTGTTACATTGTGTATTAAGACCAACAGAAAAAGAAACGTTGCTTGAAAATAGTTCTAAATCATCTCTTACAAACATCACCATTGCAAGATTTTCAGGTGCTGTGTAATATAATTTTCCCTGCTGCAGCCATGGTACTGCAACAAAGTTATGAGATTATTACACCAGAAAGAGACTATAGCTCCTAGCGGATATTTAAGAGGCCTCGGATCTAGCACTATTGATTTTTATTACTGTCAATAAAAATGCTGTTTGTGTCTTTCTGTCTTACTTTCCAATGTCATTTTACGTCTATCTGTCTTTCTTGTATGTCATACCTTGAGGTTTATCACTTATGATGTGACCAGATGCACAAACACACACACACACACACACTTGACACTTTCCATGGCCTGGTTCCTGTGTGTTACCTGCACCTCACTCCCCTTCCTGGTTTCTAGAGCCTCTGTAAGATTGGGTAGAATGCAGCTCAAAGTATTCTCGTATCCTGTAATCATTAATAATTAATTTGACGTAGATGTGTCATTAGGCTTTTTGCATTTCTTTTAGTTCGTTGGCTTAACTACAACTCATTTTGTTTTAAGTCAGCGTCATTATTATTTAATCATTTTGTGCTTGAGACTATTTAACATGTGCGTCAGGATTTTCACTAGATTCCCCATCTTCCCTTTTTGTGTGATCCTCCCCTCAACCCTCACCTCATAATTCAGTCAAACCTCATTTTGGTTCTTTGTAATGTGTTTGCATGCGCCCCATGACCTTTTTTTATGTTCTGCATCTGTTTCATTTTTCTTTGGCCTTTTTTTTGTTTTGTTTTGTTTGCGTTGTAGCTAAACTCAGGCATACCTTGCATGAGAGCAGCGCTAACGCTCAGGGCAGGATGCAAAAATGCATGAGGAGAGCACGAGGTCTGCAGCAACGCATGCAACAGAAGCAACAGGAGGAAGAGAAGGAGCAGAAACAGCCCCTCAGGTACCTGCTGCTGCCTGCGGTTGTGTATATGTATGCGAGTGTGTGTGTGTGCTCCAGGAGCCTTGCACACAGGAAGAGGAAATGTGCTTTAAAAATTATGATCAGCACTGTTGCAGGCCAGGTTAGATTAAGTAACCATTCTGCAAAGAGCTGCACAGGTAATAGTGTCACCTCTAGACTGAAACAAGTACTGCATGACATTATCAAGACCTGATTCAAGTTAGTCGGATAGATTGTTAGCAGGAACTCATTGCTGTTTTTCATCTTCCTCATTCAGTGAACAGTCTGTCCCGGTCCAAATACTTCTGACAAATGTTAAAGAAGAGGATGAGAAGGCCATTTCAGAAGATGCATTAAGACCACCGTCACCTCTCCACATAAAACCTCAGTCTACAAGTAAACCGATTTCTGAAACCCCAGGCCCTCCTGTCCCCTCTTACCATACAGATACATGTTCCCAGAAGGACAATACAGGGGACCACCCTAGTTCTCTTGATGTGACAGAAAATGATCGGGGTCCTAGGGACCTTGTAATTAACACAAACTCTCTTGTACAAACTGCTAGTAAACGCAGTCCTGCCACTGTGCCTGTGATTGCAGCGAATGGCTGTGAGGCTTCCCTGCAGTCCTCCGTTTCGCTCAACACTCCTGCTTATTTCAGTGCCCGTCTCACACCTTCCACCACTGATCACTCTGAAGAAGGTCTCCAGAATCCCCATCGTCCTCAGTCTCTCCATGGCCTGTCCCAAGCACCCCATGCCTGTCAAAAATCACTCCCTGTTCCCTCACGTAATTGGTCCTGTCGCAGTCTGGAGCGTCCTGATAGTCGTCCCACCACGCTGGACTCTTCCATGTATTCTCCAGTAGACCTCAGTTCCCCATCGTCCCCCTGTCCTCCATTCCTGTCTTCACCAGTGCTGGAGCAGCGTCCAGCCGGCCCCATGCCTGTGGAACGTTGGGCAGAGAATGTCAATCGATACTACAATTCCCAGAAGTGTGCGCGGTCGGGACGTGACTCGCCCTGCGAGGAGCTGTCGGAGCTGGACTCACTCTATCAGGCCAGCTTGAAGGCTCCCAGCATACCTAGAGCCACACGGGGAACCAGCCCTCAGCTTGCCAACAGATCAGGTGATTTTTTGTTTTTGTTTAACCTTTTGAAGATACGACTTGTTTTTCACAGGTCATGGAATTTCTGGAGTATCATGGAATATTTTGTTCCAGACATTGAACGTCAGGGATTTTTTTTGTCAGGTCATGGAATATCAGGGGATTTTGTTGGTCACTTTTAAGATTTGTTTCCATTTATTAAAATGTAAATTTTCTATATCATATTTTTGTTATACCATGTTGTTTTTCACAGACATGCAAAAGTCAAAACCAATTTCTTTTTGCTGGCTTTTTTTGTTTTTTTTAATCAGTTAAATTTTCCATTGCGGTTTTCATAGTGGCTCATGCAGTAATCATGCAAATTATTATTCAAGCTAAGATCATTTGAATATTAAAATATTTCTGTTTTAACATATTACTGTATTTTAGTATTATTGATGTATCAGCACAACTGCAACCTAGTTTGTTCATTAGCTGTCAGTAAAATTCAGGGTTTTTATTTTTGTCTTAAATTGGAAGTCAGAATTATAATCCCCCTTTAAATAAATTTTTCCTTTTTAAATATTTCCCAAATGATGTTTAATAGAGCTAGGAAATTTTCACAGTATGTCTGATAATCTGTTTTCTTCTGGAGAAAGCCTTATCTGTTTTTTATTTAGGCAAGAATAAAAGCAGTTTTTATTTTTTTAACCACCATTTTAAGGACAAAATTATAAGCCCCTTTGAGCTATATGTTTTTTGACTGTCTACAGAAAAAAACATCATTATACAATAACTTGCCTAATTACCCTATCTTGCCTAGGTAACCTAATTAACCTAGTTATGCCTTTAAATGCCACTTTAAGCTGTATAGAAGTGTCTTGAAAAATACTTAGTAAAATAATATTTACTGTCATCATGACAAAGATAAAATAAATCAATCATTAGAAAGGAGTTATTAAAAATAAACAGGGGGGCTAATAATATTCTGACATATATATATTTACATTTACTAGGCATGGGCCAGTATATGAATCTAACCGTAGATAAACTTGGATAAAAATATCATGGTTTCACTGTATTGTGTTTACTGCTGTAAAATATATTCTTTTTGAATGTTTGGGTAAAAACAAAAACTTTTTGATTACAATATATTTTATTTTGAGAAACGCTTCTGATATTTTAGAACAGTAAACAGTAAACGGCTAAATAATTAAAAATGGATAATTGATTTCTGCTGTCTTCATTATTTAAGACCGCAGTCTTTTCTACAATTTAAAACCACATCTTTGGATATATTTTCTGCTGGATATACTGTTGTCCTAACTGTAGGAACAGTATAGCAGGTTTTTGGCGGTTTTAAAACTTTGATTTTCCAATCCGTGGTAAACTTTAAAAATGCTTATCGACCCATGGCTAATATATACACAATGTTTTACATGTCAGTGATATAATTTAATTATTAAATAAGGAATGAGAAAAGTAAAGAAATCTGATGATACATTTTTGTCTTTTTGTAGAATTTTAAAATAAAAGATTATTTCATATAACTGATGCATTGTATATGATGTTGTATTCAGCTAATACTAATATATGTAACTAATGGTAATATTATTCGTAATGTATTATTTATTTAAAAATAATAGTGAAGGATAAGTAGATATTTTTGCAGTCAGGTTGTATAAATGTAATGTTTTTTGTAGGTCCTGCTGTTTCTCGTAAACACAGCACTGGATCCTCTGCCACTCTTGGCCGCTCCAAAACCCCCACAGCAGAGATTGAGAGGAGTGCCTACAGGACGCCAACGTACAGCACTAAACCACTTCAGAAGGTCAGCCGGAACACCTGCTTTATGTAGTATTACTGTGTGTATTAGAAATGTATATAATGGTCATCAGACAAGCTGAAGAATCTGCATGCTGTTAATAAGGATGTAAAATGTTAACACCATTGTGTGTGTGTGTGTGTGTGTGTGTGTGTGTGTGTGTGTGTGCGTGTGCGCGTGCGCGTGCGCGCAGCCTGTTTCTGCTGCAGCCTATAATGAACCGCTGGGTGAGGATGAATCATACAGTGCTGAGAACCTGCGACGAATTGCTCGGAGTCTCAGTGGGACTGTTGTTGGAGGACGGACTGACGTACCCCCATCTCGCAGCTTTGTGGGTGTCTCACTTGCTCAAACACTCAAGCCTCATTTTATGCACTCAAAATACTGAACATTAGCATCATTTCATCTGCAGCAAAATTAGCTTGTTCTCAGTAGATATTAACTATTACGTCATGGGTTTAGCAAGTGCATCTTTAAATGTTTGTGAAATCATTTCAATAGAGAAATACTGCCACCTGGTGTGAATGCAGTGAATACAACACATAGAACAGTGGCTTACTTACGACACACCAATTCAGCTGCAAAACTGCTTTTTGTTAGGGACGTCCCGATCAGGTTTTTTTGCTCTCGAGTCAGAGTCATATGATTTTGAGTATCTACCAATTCCAAAACCCAATCCGATACTTCTATAATACATAAAAAAAAAGAATAGTTAGTGAAGAAACCAATCCAGAATGATCTTTATTTTGTATTTAATTCACCTTATTTAAACATTCAACATTTCTGTTAACAAACAGAGCACTTCTGTGAGGCAAACATTCTTCACTTTTGGACTTAAGTGCAACGGTACATATAAAAAACAAATAGCAGCTCAACTTAAAATAACTTACAGGCAATCCCAAGTTTACATATCTCACAGTTTGCTATGGCAATGTTGTCGTCATTAACTTTATAATTTCTGCAGACCGCTTACTTGCGATTTCTGCGTCAAGCTGTTTCTGTGTTTTACTGTGTTCCAGCATTTAACCAGTAGTGTCTCTGCAACAGTGATGTCATGCCACACATGTTGCTGTTTCTGTGTGAAATAAAGAAAGAGGTCTAACTCTGTGCTACCGCATAACTATAGATGTGTTAAAAAATAATGAAAATTATATATATATATATATATATATATATATATATATATATATATATATATATATATATATATATATATATATATATATATATATATATATATACTGTAAATACATATATATTCAAGTACTGATCGGGAGGTAACATCATTCAAGTTCGATTCGACATTCGAGTCTGAAACCGTGTGATCGGTCCCGATTTCCCATTATGTGATCGGATCTGGACATCTCTACTTTTTATTATATTGATATTTACGTTTATTTAGTTACTTTATTTTCTTTCATTTAATTAGTCATCCACACACACTTATTGGAATTCTTTATTGAACACCAGTTGTCTGGGTATCCAGTTTGAGAACCACTGATTTAGTGCGATTTAGGAAAACAAAACTTTTTTTTTTAAACAGGGTAATTTTACAACTCTCCAGTTAAACTGTTGAGTTTTACTATTTTTTTAATCCGTTTAGCCGATCTTTAGGTCTGGTCAATAATTATTGCTAAGCTTAAAGAGGTCCAGCCAGACCTAGCTGAATGGATTAATAAGATGGTAAAACTCAGCTGTTTAACTCTAGAGCACTATAAATGGCCTATTTACAAAAAAAGGGGAGTGTTCCTTTAAGATGTTGTTTTTAATTTAGTAATTTTCTACAAATCTTTAGGTTCACTGTCCATCTCTTCTTTGGTTACGATGTTTTTTTGTTTTTTTTTTGATTTCCTAATTGTTTTTGTATGATTTCCATCACTGTCATATTGTTGATGGGAGCACACTTTGTTTTCACATCTCCTCATGTCTCATTCCTTTCGTTCCTCTTTTTTTTATTTTGTTCATAAAGGACCCTCATGTCTCCAGGATGTCCAAGCATGTGAATGTGCAACTCCCCACACATCGCTCCAGCACATCCCTGCATGTTTTACCACTTCCCTCCCACAATCCACCAATGTTCCCTCACGAACCACCGCCCCAACACCTTCACTCGAGCCACCGTCCTCACCCCGTCCCTACATCATCACACCTGCACCAGCAGACACTGAGGCCCCCTCATGGACAAACAGGTAACCATCACACCCCAGTTGCAGTTCAACCTTTCTCCGCCTGTGTATGTTTTGTTCTTGTGGTTTTGCTCTTCATCAGTTTAATGCTGTAAAGATTTGTTGAGACCGAGGATAATGAAATTAAATTTTGAGTTTCATTAGAGCTGCACAATTATTCGTTAAAAGATTGCAATCTCAATTTATGCATCAACGTGATCTTATTTCTGTATGACCATGATTTTTATGTTTAGTAAACCCTCAAATCTGCGTTTGGCAGAGAGAGAGAGAGAGAGAGAGAGAGAGAGAGAGAGAGAGAGGGTTTTCATGTATTATTATATATGCAGCTTCAGTCATTTTTTCTTTTCACACAAGAGTGTTTTTGTTTTCACAGAAGCACCAATAAGAGTTTTGGTCAGATTAAAACAATAGTAACTAAATATTAACTAAATACTAAATAGTAACTAAATATCATTTGTTTTAAAGAATTTCATTTTTTTCCAAGTGATGTTTAATGGAGCCAGGACATTTTCCACTGTATTTCATGTAACTTTTTTTTCCCCCTGGAAAAATTAATTTCTGTTTAATTTCTGTTTGTTTGCCTGTAATATTAGCTGATTTATTTTTATTTTTTTATTTAAAGTCGTTCAGTGATGGCTAACTTTCATAATTAGCCTAGTTAACCTAATAATCCAGTTAAGCCTTTAAATAGCATTTTATGCTGAATACTGGTATCTTGCAAAATAACTAGTAAAATATTACTTACTCTCTTCATGGTAAAGACCATCATCTTTATCATACCATAACCATCAACAATAAATCATCTCTGCATTATAAAGCACTTGAAAAAATTGTGAAAAATAATTTCACAGGAGTGTTAATAGTTTTAATATTTTATTAATTATATATGTAAACACACTACTGGTCAAAAGTTGTTTTTTCATGTTTAAAAAAATGTATCTGTTTATCAAGGCGACATTTATTAAATTCAAAGAAATTATTAAATATTTATTAAACATTATAAACTGCTTTCTAATTGTATGTAGTTTCAAATAAAATTATTATTCAAGTAATTATTGCTTTTATTACTATTACCATTAATAATAATAATAATAATAATAAAAATAATAAAAATAAGGATTAATGTTAGAATGATTTCTGAAGGATCATGTGACCGGAGACTAGTGTAATGAAGCTAGAGATTCATCTTTAAAATCATTGGAATAAATGATTCAATTAAATTATTAACTACTTTTGAAGAGTATATACAGTTGAAGTCAGAATTATTAGCCCCCCTTTGAATTTTTTTTTCTTTTTTAAGTATTTCCTAAATGATGTTTAACAGAGCAACGCCCGCACCTTACGCCGAGTTCAGACTGTATGATTTTTAAAGTAGTTACTTCACAGCTGACTATCTGGAGTAGTATTTCGTCGCAGCTGTGTTTATACTGCAGGATGGATCCCACTGAATGACTTTACAATAGGAAGAATCGCCAACAACTTTGTCTTGCAAAAGTCAAAAAAGTCTCAGAACCCAACACACGCGAGAAGTGACATGGAAACAACGCAAGTTCACATAGTAGTATACACTTTGTTATTAAATACATAATGAGAAACAAGCCTTTTGTGCGGTAGAAATTATACTTATTTTGCTCACCTGTGTTTTGAAGGGAATTAGCAATTTCTCTTAAACATTTTGCTTAAATGGTTGTGCAATTGCTCAGCTATTGCTCAGATGACAAGTCTAACAGAATCGGGCGCTCCTGCCAAAGCCCACTCTTTTTTCTCCATTTTTTTGGGTCCAAATAGACTGAGAAGAAGCACTTTTAACTTCTCCCCCAACCTCCTGCTGGCTTGCAGTTACCCACACTAGTGGATGCTGCTCTCTGATTGGCTGTAGGTGATCGCCAATGTTATTTTCAATCAGAGCACATTTCACACGGCATGATTTCAATCGCAAACAGGTCCTGATATTTAGCATGCCAAATATCTCATGGGTATCTGTGACTTATCGGCGATCCTCTCAGATAGTGTCTTTGATAGTTCACACCGTGTGATTGTTACTCACGTGAACAAGCACAGATTTACCTGTGATTTTAGTGTTTTGTCAGCGATTTCTTAAAACCTGAGTCAAAATTGGGGCTAAAATTATGCAGTCTGAACTCGGCATTAGTAAAGCGCAGTACTGCTTCTCATTCTGAAATGCAGGTTGTATAAAATGAAACACATTTGGTTACTTTGTATTTTCAGTTTAATTTGGATTAATTGTGCAGTCCTAGCCTGCATGCACTGTTACAATGTCAAAACAACAATTGAAATCTTATTCAATCCTCTCTCCAGGAGACTGCCAAAAGACCAACAAGTTTCTGGCTGTGCTTGACCGGGGTGAAGCATTCTCCCGCGAAAACTATCACAACGTCGCACTGAGCTACGGCACTCTTCCTCGGGCCCCTCGTAGGTCAGTTTCATCTGGGCCCCCAGTGTACCAAATGAGGCCAGGATCCTTACCCCGAAACCACCCAGACGCAGCCTACGCCACACTATCCCGCCCTCACCGCACTACAGCACCAAGTAGGACGATGGATGGATTTTACAGGCAACCCCACCAACACCCTTCATTAACAGCTCCAATCCCGCATCACTCCAGCCGTCATCACCCGCACACAGAGCCGCCAACTCAACCCCTCCGCCTCGATGTTCCCCCTGAGAGAGACTGGAGAGCTGCTAGGGACACTCACGTCTTCCCCAGAACAGATCCCCGTGGAGGGACGTCCCGTGGCCATCCTGTCTATATCTGCGGGCTGTGCAAACAGAACCCGGCTGAACCCACTAGAAGCTACTGCCAAGCCTGCAGAGCCCATATGAGCCACTACAGGATGACCAGCTGAGTCCTGCATCCTTCAGCGCACTCATTCTCTGACTTGGAAGTAAACACAAGACCCCTTGCCAATTCTCCGAAGCTCTTCACACAGTACAAAGCAGCAAGATCTTGGGAGCTGCTTTGGCTAAAGTGAAAGACAATGACGTTGCTTTGGCTCAGACGTGATTGTGGAGTGATCATGTTTTAATTGCAGCCGCTGCGTTTAAATGGCGTTTTACCTACAGTAAACGTTTCCACTGCTAATTCGGCTGCAGAGTTGAGTTAGCCATCTCTGCACAAAAGCTGTGAAGAACAAGAGCACTTTGCTGCGTGGGACGCCGCATCGTAACTGACGTGAACACACTAAAAGGATGAACTTTGCCTGCTGATATACAGCGTCTGCTCTGTATATGCACAAATACGCTTTAGTTTTCAATTAGCATTCCAAGCTAACCTTACTTAGTTCTGTGATTGTAATTTAACTATGTTAACTCAAGTTTAGTGCACTTCAGAAGTGTTAAGTTAGAAGCGTTCCTCTGTCGTAACTTCTCCCATTTTTTGGGAAAACGATGTTTGTGTGTAACTACTTCATTTAGAGGGCTGTGACGTCAGTGTGGGTGTGTGTGTAAGTAATCAGAGGTACATCAGATTCCTCCAGTGTACCAACAGTCAAGTTTCAGACACCTCATTAGCGTTTGTGTTGATATTTTTGTGTACAGTATTGTTCTGCCTGACAGTAGCACCAACACATGTGATCTCTTCAATTGTTTTGGTTTTGCAGTAGCAGCAGTTTACCGTTTTGATTTATACGCTATATCTTACATTAACTGTTAAGTGCAACACTATTTCATGGTTGTTTTAAGACTTACTGTAGGTGAACAGAAGGACAGAGCATTCTGCAGTGCCTTGGTTTGTGAAAGGCAACGTAAATAGGTGCCAGACTGTGTCCATATGTTAGATTTCCAGCCATATAATAATCCATATTATAATAGTGCTAAATTCAAGAGTTGCAGTACTCAACTATTTCAATTTTTCACCCCCAATGGAGAATGAATGCCTTTTATGTTGATTTTAGGTTCACAGACGCTGTTGAAGTGAAACTTGTGGTCTGAGATGGTTCATTTAGTTAGTCTGACACATTGAGAATGTTAGGAGTATCTTTCAGCAGTTAGCTGAGTTTGATGGTGCAATGTGCCATTTCACGGAGATGAAAGTGTTACCTGCTCATATTTCTGAAACAGGGCCAAACTTTTTTGTTTTCATACATTTTGGAGCATGTCAAATACCTCAACCAATAACATGCTCTTGTTTTTATTTCACCAGAACAGTTTTGCATGTACTATGGTTACCTAAATCAGGACCTAACGGTGAATCGGAGTGCCTCTGCATTGAATTCCCACTCGGCGATTTATCTAAAGCTTTTTTGTTTGTTTGTTTGTTTGTTTGTTTGTTTTGCCTGGCCAATATGCAGTGCAACACTGCCCTGGCGTGATTACTGACAACAGGGATCTGTGACTGATTTACCCATCCCTTCCTTTCTTTCGGAGTTAAATACAAACAGATATGGCAAAAAAAACAAGGCTGTATATATAAAATTGTGTAAAGATATTCAGTCCTTGATCTTAAGATGGATTCGGATTTGTTGTAAATGCTGTGCTAGAAATGAAACTTGTATTTTTGCAATAAAGTTATATTAAGCTCCAGTCAGGAGCAGAACGCTGGACCTTGTTCCTGACCACCTTATTTTCTATACCTATTATTATACCTAAAGTATTACTTAACTTCAAAAAAGTGTCCTTCTTATTTATAATTATTTGTAGCCTGCTAAATATGAGTGATCATGCATGTTCTACATTTATATTGACATTTGTTCATTTAGCAGACACTTTTGTCCAAAGTGGTTTACAAGTGTGAACTTACAAATTCTGCTAAATCTTGTTTATGGTCTTTCGAAACTCTTGATTCTAAGTAACTGACTAGAAGGTCTGCAGTAAGGAAGGAATAATTAGCGACAGATAAATCAACAAACCGTCAACGGGCTGTATGCACAACTAGTGTTATTCAGCTAATGATACATTTCCAGTGAAAGCTTCATGTCACTGTTTTCAATTTCACAAGGTTCCTCTAACATCATCAATGTTGTAATGTGATTCAAATATAATCAGTTAGATAGACGTAAGCATCCATTTGCTTGTTAAAGCGTAAAAAGAGACAAAAGACCCTGTAAACGCTAGTCTAGCGCTGGCATTGCCCCCTCAGAAAGAGTTTGTGCCCCCCCAGTTTTTATAAAGGATTTTTCACTCAAAATGAAAATTCTTTCTGTCATTAATTATTAACACCCCCGTCGTTCCAACCTTCAGAACACACATTTAAATATTTTAAAATATATGACATGGCAATTGAATTATGAAAATGGCTATATCACGATGAACAGTGCTTTATAATAACAATAATAATAATTCCTTACATTTCTATAGCACTTTTCTTGGCACTCAAAGCACTTTACACATAGGGGAAATCTTCTCATCTACTTTTTCATTTTATTATTTTTAATGCAAGAAAGAACATTACAAAGATTTAATATGAACAAAGAGACAAAGAGGGTTACATAAATAGAATTCCAGCAAATTAAACAAGTTTAAATGATTTACACTAAGAAAGCGTTTTAAATGCAGTGTAATTGTTAAGAGTCTTTTAAAGAGTTCACATACATTTCAAAGTCCTTTCTGAAAATAAAAAAGTAAGGGTGTTTCTTTGAAAATTTACATTTATGGATGTAAAATTTTGTTTAAAAAAAGCAATAAATCAATAATAAATTTACAATGAGAAGGATCTACACTCAGATAGTAACCAAAGAATACAATTTTTGGGGAAATACAAAAGTTTGGAAATAAGAATTTTTTTAATTAAATTGGAAAAGTCAACCCAAAACACTTTACAGTAAGTACACTCCCAAAATAAATAGTTTAGAGTTTCATCATATTGAGTACAAAATGAGCATTTAGGGGAAATACTGTTTTTAAATTTAGCTAGTTTGGTATTTATTGGGTAGCAATCTCGTCATCTACCACCAGTGTAGCATCCGCCTGGATGAAGCGACAGCAGCCATTTTCCACCAGACCGCACACCACAGAGAGAGAAGACAGAGTAATGAAGCCAATTGTGATATGGGAATGGTTAGGAGGCCATGGTTATGGACAGAGGCCAGTAGGTAAATTTGGTCAGGATGCCGGGATTAAACCCGTACTCTTTTTCGAAAGACAGTCTGGGATTTTAGGGCTGAAGCGTGCTAATAGGACTTTTAATTTGCCAGTAACCTGGGTTAAGCGCTTCCGGCGAACTGAATGCCAAAGGAAAAATCTGCACGTTTTAAAGGTCAGTTTTCTTTAAAAATCAGCGATCTCCACTGGCTGAGTGATATCCGATATGAAGTGGGTCGCAGATTGTACTAGAAGCACTGCATTAAATAACATTTTCCCCGCCATATCTTTATAATATGAGCATGTATTTTAAGTTACCCCAGCGCTATCCTGCCGATCCTGACGGGCGAGTGCGAGTAAAAGGCCATTTGTCTCGTTTTACGCTTGAAAAACTAAATGAATGCCAAAGTTTATTTAACTGAATGTATTTTAATTACATTACAACATGAATGCTGTAAAAGGAACCGTATAAATAGAAAAAACACAATAACCGGTCACCGGAAGTTTATATGTATATGGGAACAACACTAGCTCGGCATACACCCAATTATATTCATCTGTCTAAATATTCTGAATATTATCCCAGAATATTACACAGCACCAAAAATATAAAAAAATATATTGAATATATTTAATATATTTTTGTGTACGGCAGACGGCAGCTCGCCGTGACGCAGATTCCCGAGTCGTGCTCCAATCAGGTGAGCCCTCTTCAGCGCTCGCCATGACAACGAGACAGCAGTGAAGTGCCTTGTAAAAATTTGCATCTGTGCTCCTATAAAGCTCGTGTGCTCTCTGTCAGCGCTGTCAGTTCGCTCGGTGTTGCTGTTTGTACTTGACCAAGGTGAGTTCAATACCGACGGTACGAGTGGAGCCACGCCAATCTCACGAAGTCCGCTTCGTGAAGCTTCACTCGGGCCCGTCTGTGCTGTAGTTCCTTGTGGTTTGCGTACATAAATGCAACATCGCAAGGAATATTACGTGTTTGTTGCTCGAAATGTGCCGCCGAGCAACATCCAGTGAATACTGGCACGGCCTGGCGCCCGGTCTTCTCGTGCACTCCCTGGGGCGAGGCGGCCTTTGAGCCCTAGGCAGGGAACAAACAACCCCCAAGACCCTCAGGGAAACACGGGGGGCCGGTAGTGGGACCTCGCTGCGAGGGTTATGGTGGGTGGGAGTAGCGAGGCCCACTCATCGTCTATTTTAAACTATAGTTTCAAACTTTAGTTTACTATAGTTTGAAATAGACACCATGGTAACTGTTATGATTAAACTTTATGCAAAGAGCTTAGAATGACCAAGAGCAACAGCCCCGGATTCCGCCATTTTGAAGTGAAAGCAATCGGCCGTCCATTGGATCTCACTGCTGTTGCGATGGAAAGCAGCTGCTTTGTTTTTATTTAATTTATTCAAAAAGCGCGTTATTGTTTCCCAAATTGTAGTGTCGCCTCTTGGTAATTCTATGCTCTTTGCTCTTTGTTTGACTGTTGTAATGTTTTGCTTTGTTTTTCAGCTAAGCTGTTGAGCAAAGAAGGACTATTGAAGACAACAGTTGAAGACAACCGCGGGTTATATTCATGAGCGCGCGCGTTATAATGTTTCCGGGTTGTTTTCTGAAAGTTTGTCTTGTTTGCATGTCAAACTAAATAAACTATACTCTTTCTAAACACCTGTCTCGTGTTTTATTTGTCCTCTACAGCAATGCACTGTCATGTAAGTCTGTTGAATGCATTTGTATGCAACATGGTTTGACCATGACCAACAGTAGTCTAACAAATAAATGGTTGTTATAAATGTATCTTCATTAGTCAACATTTGGTGTAGGTAATAAAAAGTTTATCAAAGATGTCCTGAGACATAAGGGTTATGTTATGGTTGTTTCATAACTATATTTATTATTATTCTGTATGTTTAAAACCAGCAAATTATACTATATATTTAACATGTCATGAACTTACTATTATTTTAAAATTTGCTTAATAAAATGTCCTAAGACAAGAATGGGTTTTCAACCTACAGTAGGATATAGGTTGACTACAGCAGGTATAGGCTACATACATCGTAGGGAGTTTTTTTTTAATGACCAAAATCAAGTAAAACGTCTCTTACTCAAGTACTTTTAGCATGCAAAAGTCAAATTTAAGTATATAAAATACAGTTTTCAACAACAAAATTTTGTCTTGTGAAAAAGACCAGTGTGGTGGTGAGGGAAAAAAAGTAATGTCAAGTTATATATATTTATAAAAGAAGTTGAACAAGTTGTCATAATATTTAGTCATTAGATTTATGTGACCGCTAGATGGCGCTCAATTAAATGGAGCGTCAATTTTAAAGGAGCGCTACCCTGTACTAAAATGGCGGTTCTATTGACGCATTCCTTCCAATAGACAACATCAGGGTAGGCGTCATCCAATGTATATTTCTATGGGAGCTAACTAGTATTCACGTCATATCATGCTCAACTCTTTTTACTCTTTTACGCTCTTTGAGATTCTTGGCGGGATTTCAGAATCATATTTAGGCAACTACGAAGTAGCAGTACCGTCTGTGTACCATAGTTACACAATGCAGTATTTAGCTCGCTCGTAAACATCGCTGTCTGAGCAGAAGTTTCATCATTAGCCCTGACTGTCAGATGCTCTTCATCTGAGGAGCTGTATTTTTAGATGCTTGATAACAGATAAAAGGTGAGTTATGGCAGGAGTGGACGCTGCCAGACGGGCTTTTTATTCATTTTGGCATGACAGGAGCGAACAAGGATACTAAAGAGTGACAGAGTCCACAAAACTGCTCTTTGGTTGCATTTCATTTGATGAATATTATCTTTTAGAGCTTCAAGTCTTGCCTCAGGTTTTCCCCTCAGCTGTTTCTCGTCAGATTTGTCGTTTCAGAAAGGCAGGCCCGTCGCTACGGGGGGCAAAGGGGGGCATTGCCCACTCAGAAAGAGTTTGTGCCCCCCAGTTTTCATTTTGCTAAAAAGCGCACTTTTACAGTTGTGTAGAGAAACATCCCATTATGCAGCAGCAGTCAAGGTATAACACTTAATACATGCCTTTTGCATTTAAAGATGATCGGCCTGCGAGGTCAAGTTTGCAGTGTTATAAATGGAATGAATAGATATAGTGCTTAAGTGGAATTACTGCGGATCAACCGAGAAACCTCTCACATTCAGGTAGGCTGAATAATAATCTTTTAAAAATATGTAATTTAGGCTATACTGCTATTTGCTCATGCAAAATTAAACAACATAAAATATATTGTAGATCTATTTTAAGAGCTAAAATACAACATATCGAGTTTGTTTTGACTTGTAGCTCATGGCCCTAAAATGAAAATAACCTGAAAACAAGCTATTAAAAAAAGGCTTAATAAATAAAATAATGAATAAATAAAATGACGGGTAGGCCTAGTAACCTAATGGTTTATGATGGTTTACAATATCACGAAATAAGCACACTTATGATAGCCTAAGATAAATCTTTGTTTTTACATTTAAAATGATGAAAAAAAGTTATATAGCA